TTTTATTTATAAAATTTATATGCTGCCCATCTCGTCTGGATGCTGCATCTCATAAACATTGTTGTCAAAATTAATAATAACATGTAAATGATGCTGAGAAAGCATAACAAGGTGTCATTCCTGGTAGCATTGATGATTCTGACACCTTAATTCTCTTTTATGAAGTCTAGATCACCAAAATGCTTTCCTGAATTATAAACTTTAAAGAAAAACAGATGCAGAGATGAAAGTTTTCATTTTTAACCTCCCAAAAAATTTCCATCAAAGCATAGGATCCACAATAGATTCTGATTTCAAACAAATACATACAATTCTAACAAATTTCTCTAAGGCTAGACAATATACTGTACATATCCCACAAGAAACATGTATGTAGTCGCAACCTTACTTTTAGAGTCAGTAGCAAAAAAATTCAAGATTTTCTTTATCCTTCCCATTTATCCTACATTACAGTAAATTGGGGAGGGAGCTACGTGAAATGTTATGTCTTTGTTCTGCCCTTTAAAAAATTTGGTCCTTTTGCCTCAGTAATCATTCGTGCAAACCTGTATTTCCATCAGTTATTTTTCTTACTGTCTACAAGGTATAAAAATTGGTTGGATGGTTTCTCAAAGTTTTTGCAGCAAAGGGCAAAATATGTAGGTGTCATGAGAGAAATTTCTTCATCATACTTTTCTGGGAATTTTATTGAAGCAAACATAAGGGCTGCAACTGCATTGTCAGGCAATGAAGCTCTGAGCCATTTGCATATGCCTCTTGGGGGCCCGGTAGGTGAATGAATATGTGGACATCAGACTGGGAAAGAAATTTCAAAAGTAAATCCTTCATCAACTCGAATTATTACTGGTATGAAAAATTAAAGGGGCCTTTCTCTGCCCTGTGTTAGTTAAAATAATATATAGGAGTAGAGCAGCCTTGGGTATATAAAAAGGGCTCATAAATCATGACAAAATGATTTATTTTACAAGTTGCTTATGTGAGAAAAGGTTGGTGAAAGAAAAGTTATGATCATTTCAAATTTAGACAGATAATTTCAAATTTAGAAAAGTGTAAGAAGATAGATTGATAAAGAAAATGTACAAAGAAATTATTTTCATAGCAACTTTTTGAAAAAGAAGTTGATAAGCTGAGAGCATTGGCTGACTGTGCAAATCAAGACCTGGGCACAGGGTTACCATATATAGTATTAGCTATTTTTATAATAGACTTCTGTCTATAGTTCACTTCTTGGGCAGGTAGTTCATAGCAAAACACAGCCATTTGTAGACTTTCAATTATTACAGAAATATAGAGAATAAAATTATAGATTGTAATTTATGATTTGTTCAATAATATTTAAAACTTTAGGTTTTAAAGACATGCCACCTGCCACCAGCATTAAGTTGCCACCAGTGAAAAGTAAGATTTTAGGTTACATCAGGAATTCATCCCTAAATATTGTTTTGTCCTTACAACAATAAACTGGGTTTCCAGAACTACTGAGGTATCTTAATAAAAATCTATTTGGATTTGATACCTGTCACATTATATTTTGACCTCTTAGAATGGAAAAAAATATTGTTCCTAAGTTTCAGACCCTTCTTCTCTTATCTATGTATTCCTAACCTTTAATCTATTAAGAACAAGTTATTCCCAATTCTAAGCAAAAATTGTGTTTCCTAATTATCTCTGCTATTTCAGAAAACTAAGTTTCTAACTAACAAAGAGAAGGTTAGGGTTTTTTTGTCCAATAATAGCAAACTTTGCTTAAAGATAGGATCAATTATTTTAGCTGCAGAAGTAATGATGTAAACAAATGTTATTAAATGCTAGTTATAAGTGATAATCAGATTCAAAGGTGCCAAGTGTTTGTCTAGTGTTTGTCTGTGATCCATGTCCCCAGACTGGAGATATTGTCATTTACATACTATTATATTAACGGTAACAATCCTGGGTTTTTTTTAAAGCACTTTTAGAGTTTTTGGTTTGGACTGTGTTATATATGTAAATAGCAAGTGAAGCCAGGGATGTAGGCTTCCTTCAGGTCTGGGTTTAGCTGTACATTTGCATGCCCACTGCTGATTGGTGGATTCAAACAGAAGGAAAAGTAAAGCGTTGTCAGTGGCTGAATCGGTGGGACAGCTCCCTTTAAAAGGAAGCGCTGCTGGCTAAGCCTTTGCAGAAGTCATTTACTAAAATAAAAATCTGAAGTTACTGTCTGTCATCCTGCCTCTTCATTGCCTCCCACGATCTAACAGATTGTATCTTAGAAACATGTCCCACCATATACACTGACTCACTTCCATGTCAGAAGCACCGAAGTGCCTCCTTGGTGAAAGGATCAGCCGGTGACATTACCATTGCCAGGGGGACACCCAGTTTGGGACTCCTTTCATTTCCCCATTAATGAGCACACCAAAGTGGTACCTCTTTATCTAGTCACATTTACATGCTTTTGAACTGCTAGGTGAGCAGGAGCTGGACTAAATGACGGGAGCTTACCCTGACACACAGCAGCCTTCAATTGAGGCTTGCAAATTGTCAAACTAGTATCCTAACCACGTGAGCCACATTGAATACACTGAAATGGGGGAAAGTGTATGTTCAGCACACATAACAACAATACATTATGCACAAAATCCATTTTACGTGGGAAGATTGAGATTTTCTATATTCTTACCTGAGAATTTTGAAAGGACTTTCTTGTGAAAATAATATACAGAAACTCCATAATCCACCTGAATTAACCATCCTTCAATTAGTTTTTAATAAACTATTTCTATATATTAAAAATAGGTTGACAATAAGAGTTTCAGCTTTTTTCAGCCCTAGAGTTCAAAAGGAGATAATATGAGATTTTTGTGAAGGCCATGAGTTGGTATTAGCACCCTACCCTCATTTGGAAAGCCTATAAATTCCTTTTGTAACTCAAATACCTAGTTCCAACTCAGTGATTAGCATTTTGATAAAAAGATTTGATATACATTTTTTTCCCACCTGCAAAAACTCTTGACGAGATGCCAACACGAGATTCCATAAATGAAAAAGGATGTTGAGATTGATATGAATTTCAGAAAGATACCTCAGGTTCTTTCTCCCTTGCAATGAAAGAGAATTCATGTAAGGCTGTCTTTCTATCTCTTTGTACTGATTTATTTAATCAAGATTAATCAAAACAAAATTTTCTGAAAGGTCATGTTATAGGATATCAGTGGGGTGTAATCTCTTTTTCCTTGACACTAAGAGCACTGAATGTGAATATTCTCAAACTATTGTGCTAAATGGTTACTTGAACTGGTATTTCATTGGTTTCACAGAGTTCTGACAATGACCCTGTAATATGGATTGGTTTGCTTTTTCCAGCATTTTTCTATTTAAATTCTGGCCTTGCCATTTGATTCAAGGTGATCGGAGCCTTGTAACAATAGCATAGATTGCTCTGATAGCTTTGCAAATACAGATTGCTGGAAAAAAAAGGAATGAAATAGTGTGCTCCCACAATAAGCAGCAGTCACATTCGGATAATGGCTTATCAGATTTCATACCGCAATGGTTAGAAATATTGCTTCCTCATATTTTACGGGAAAGTAAAGGGTAATTTTATTCTTCTATTTTATTCTTGTCAAAAGATCTCATTGGATTGATAAATTGTCAGTGAGATTACATTAAAAGAAGAGACAACTATTAACCTTAACCAATACAGTACAATTTTAGAGAAATCTTTTGTATTTCATAATGATAGTTACTTTTTTCTTCCACAAATTTGGAGGAAATTGGAAGATATCTGCACCTGTCAACAGCCCATCTTATACAGAAAGTATAAAGCATTTAGCACACAAAAGATTATAGACAGTCCTTGACTTATGACCAAAATTGACCCCAAAATTTATGTGGCTAAGTGAAAACTTTAAGTGATTTTTGCCCCATTTTACAACTTTCCTTGCCACATTTGTTAAATGAATCATTGCAGTTGTTAAATTACTAACACAGATGTTAAATGAATCTGGTTTCCCCACTGACTTTGCTTGTCAGAAGGTTGCAAAAGAGGTCATATGACCCCGGACCACCGCAACTGTCATAAATGTGACTCAGTTGTCAAGCTTCTGAATCACGTGACCATGGGGATGCTGCAACAGTCATAAATGTGAAAAGGAATCAAAAGTCACTTTTTTCAGTGATGTAATTTCGAACGGTCACTAATGAACTGTTGTAAGTCGAGGACAACCTGTATTAGGGAATAGAACAATTCTTAGGATTTACACTAGTTGGGCTGTTTTATTCTGGACAAACAGTGAGGTGGTAGTATTATATAAATATTCGTATTTTACAGAAAATGCATATGATGTTCTAGCAAGATAAAAGAAAATACTTATTCTTATACTATAGAACTAGTCAACAAAACAAGTTATCCTTACAGTATCTTAAATTACTTCAAAAAGTTCATTTAAGGATAAAACTGTTAATGGCCAGTAGAGCCACAGCGGTTCTATATGATCTTTGTAGTTTGAGATGCAATATGGCTTTCAGTTATGTTTTGGCCGCTAATGGAACAATTTTCCAGGTGTGATATTATTCAGTTGGTGTGCTTACTACCAACTGTCCCTCCATGGCATAGAATCTATTATTTGAGTGATCCTCTGTGGTCTAAACCAGGCAATATGAGTTGACAGGGTTGGCATGCTTTAATTCTCAAATAAACAGTATCATCTTTTGGAATGCAGGAGGCAGGCCTTTGTCACGATATCTATCCTCCAGAATGAAATTACACACCTATAATCACCCTAGTCCCCAGGCTTGGACTAAGGTGAATAGAAACCCTTTTGAGTTTTGTTATTAGCCGAAGTCACCATCTTGATCATTATCTCCTTCTTATTCGTTTTATTGGTTTGGTTTTATTGTATTTTCTTTTGTTACTTTGTGAGCTGCCCAGAATCATTTTGAGTTGGGCAATGCTTAAAATGAATACATCGAATTAAATTAGACGTGCTCTTTTTATGGTAAGTCAGTATCACAGGAAAATATAGTTTTAAAAATTGATTTTAATTTCTGTTTTTCAACATAACAAAACATTTAATAATAATTTTCATTTTTGAACAAGATTTTGATGGAAACAATTTCCAACTTGTACAAAATATATAAATAATGCAATAAGGCTGCATTCCTACACACATATAATTGCAAATATATCCATTATGTCCAGTTGGATTTACTTCTGAGTATTCCGTACTTGTAGTAAACATATGAAGTGTACATGTAATACAAGTAAGGCTTATTTTAAACAACACAGTACCAATTAAAAGTGCCTAATGTCATCACACAGATTTCCGGAATGACAATAATCTAATTTAAAATGCTGTAATTAACAATTAGCTAATTTTATTAGCTCCACTTCACAGTAAAACAACTACTACTCAGAATACAGCTAGGAATGTTACTTACACTTATTTTACTTACATTTATTTATTTTATGCGTACCTTTTTTCATCTAAAACCTAGTCTATTGTGTATTTCCTCAAGACCTAGCTGATTAATAGGCCTATGTAAAGTCATTTAGACTTGTATTGACAAGTTTTTTGCCCGAAGTAAACAGTTCCTTGGAACTGGCCAAAATGCTTCAATGTTGGACAGCATCAATGCATGTGGTGGAATTCAGCATATTCTGATTCTGTCCATCATGGAAGAGCTTTGGTGCACACCAGGAAGGCCTCTGGTAGGTTTCTTTGGTGTGTCAGCAATGCCCATAGTATTTAATGAAAGTGTCCAGCCTGGAAGACACTACAAGCTCTGCAGAGAAGCCTGGGACGGGCTGCAAAGCAAAGTAATGCAAAATGGTAACTTAGAAAAGAAGCGGCTATGTTACTTCATGAAGGATGCTTTATCTCTGCGGTAGCGAACCTATGGCACACGTGCCAGAGTTGGCATGCAGAGCCCTCTCTGTGGGCACGCACGCCATCACTCCAGCTCAGTCAACTGGTCGTTGGGTTTCTGAGACGTGCCTGTGCGCCTGCCAGCTGGTCATCGGGTTTCTGAGGCATGCATGTGCACCTGCCAGCTGGTTGTCAATTTTCCAGCGGTCTGGTGTGCATGCGCACGCATACCTTCTAGTTTGGGTACTCTGTGCCTAAAAAGTTCACCATCACTGCTTTATCTGAATATTCATTGAAGCAAAAGCATTCATTCAAATATTATATGGTTTTTGTTAAAGGCCTAATTGACATTATAGGCAGAGTTTGTCTGCATATAATGTTTACCTTCTTATCAAGTCACATAGAAACAGCTGGGAGTAATATTCAGAACTGAAAATCAGGCTTCCGCAATGATTCATCGTAGCTTGTAGAGGGCAGGCAAGGTAACACTAATGTCATTATATAATAACAACATATACATTTTTACTAGCTGTTGTCAGGAAAATGTGGTTAATACCCTTGAATTATCTAGTTAGGCATGTGCATGCAATAATACAGATTTTTAGCATGACCAGGCAGTATAAAGCTTCACAGTACTCGTGATGGTGATGGCTTGATTTAGAAGAGAATAGTTACATTTATCTGCTTTTTTCCAAATGAAGTGAAATCTTAATTTCCTATTGCATTGACTTATAGTATACAGTAGTTACAGCATTATGTCTGTATGCAAGTACATTTATTTATCTGAACAACAGCTATGATTGACAACATATAAATGTGCTACAACTTAAATTTTAAAAAAAATATATTTAATGAATTAAGTCTTGCAAAATTGAAAAGAATGCTTTTATGCTGAATTTTCCTAAATCGCTGCATTGGAAATACTGTATAAATGGACTCAGATACCACAAATAACTTCTGAATAGTTATTTTCAGACATGCTTTATATAAAATCCAATTACCTTTAGTTTCATGTGATTAACAGCTATTTTAATTCAACCATACTCATTATAAACTATCACTAACTAACCCATTCACGCTACCTTGTTAACGAAGAGACCTGAAACAGTAAAAATCCCCTGTGGTTGAAATAATGTACAGCTCAGGATTAAAGTGTTCTCAACCTTAAACCCCAGTGCTCTTGAAATCAGTTAAATAACATAAAGTATAAAAACATACACTACTCTACTAATCTGTGAACTGCTTTGTGTGATATAGAGACTGATTAAATTTCAAGCGTTAAAATGAATTCTTAGTCTCATGCATTTACACCACATCCAGAACTGATTACCTAGTTTACCAGAAGTATTTACCGATCCAAGTGTAAAAGTGTTTCTCTCTGAAAACTTATAGGAAATACTGGGCTTTTCCTCTACCTTTCCACTATTTCTTCATTGTTCCAAATGTACTACTATTAAGCAGGACAACTGTAGCGATCCAAGTAAAAACTTTTTTTCCGCAATAGTCCTTCAATACAACACTATTAATTGATTGATTTTTATAATCAATCATTGTCAGCTTGCTAACATCAGCAGAGCTTCAATTCTACTGCAAATGGTGAAATTTTAAACATTAAATTGAAAAAGAACCTAACAGCAAGCACATTCGACTGAATATTGTAGACAAGTTTAAATGCTAAAATATGCCTTGCCATGCTATAATACACCCTTGGTTAATATATGATCCTACAAGTAAGTTTATTTCAGAGGGCTTGGAAGCAGAATTTATTAAAGCTGCTATATATTAATTTATTCCTATCACCATAGATTTAAATGATGCCCTTATGGAGTGGCTTATCAAGATGGATACAGCTATAGTAATCTCTCTCTGCTCCGAAGACTGAATATATTCTGATATTTAGATTTATACCATACCAATTCATTTTATAAGATAATCAGCCCAATAGAATTAGAAGGCTTTGACAACCTCAGCAACCAAAAAGGGGCAATTTGTAGTTTATTTGTAAGTATCTAATTAAACACAAATAATGAAATGATATACACTGGAAAGAACCAATATAAAGTATTAAAAAGCTAAAACAGAAAGATCTATTAAGTAGCTATTAGAGTAAAACTAAATGCAACTAAGTCAAAATCATCTGAATCTGGTTCTCTTTTATTATGGCCACTATTTAGAAAGCTTTAAAGGAGATTAAAATAAGTTCATAGAAAATTAAATGATAAGAAATCACTTTATGTGATGCTGTCAAGCTACTTCCAAAGGCAGAAGCAGCATGCTTCTCCCTTCAGGATTTGGGCTGTTGGGATAAACAGGATGATGAACTTGATAGCCTTTTTTACATTATTATTATTGCAAAGGACAACCAGTTGATCCCTCAGAATTTCGTACCTGACTTTTTCCCAATTCCCTGGTTTACAATATTAATTATTAAACACAAGTTGAGGTGTATGGAGAAAAACTACAAATGTTTTGTCTAAGATTTACCTCCGTTGGGAATAAAATGGCATGGTCAACTAGGTTTGGGAACTGCAAAATGGCAGTTGAACAATACCGTATAAAATATATAGTTGAACAAATATATATATTTGTTATATATATATTGAACAAATATATATATTTGTTCAAAGGAAATTTGTACAGAATAGTGTAAGGCCATTTTGCAGTTTTATATAACTACAGACACACACACACACACACCAAATTTATATTTGCTGATAAGAAATAAAGGGAGACTAGTATAGATCTATTTCAAGCTATTTAGCTCTCATCAGCTAGCCATACCCTTATTCAGATTCGAACTTGGGCTGCCTCCATATTAGGCAGTTGTATTAACCTCTGACCACAAGTTCTCCTCCCTTTATCAGCTTGAGCCTGGGGAGAAATTTGGTATAAAATGGGTTGTTGTGAATGCGACTGCTTGAGGGCTCCTGGATTGGAGCTGAAAGGCGAAAGGGAAGCAGTATGCTCCCTCCCATTTTGGGGTAGACCAGATGCTTTATATAACTACAAGTATATATATATGATTAGTCTCCAGGATTGTTTGAGATACTTTCTGAATTTACTCAGTTTTATGCAACTTGTTTGGGGCAAAAGAATTTTCCCGCAGATGCACATTTCACAATGAAACGTCAGTATAGCTGTAGTGCTGACTGCCATAAGTAATTGTAAACCAATACAGAAAAACCAGATGCAATGGTTTCAAAGAATGATGGGATACATCTGTGGGACTTGTGCAGTGAAGGTTTTTTTCAGTATTATTTGTATAACTTCATGGGACACGTGGAGGCAATCTTAAATCACAAGGAGCAGGAAAATATTGGGCTGAGCCTAGTTCACAAATTTTAAACCATACATTAAGATAAATAACCAGTTGCTGAAAAGCTTTTACCAACACAGTTGTTAGTCAAAGACCAATATAGCATTGCTTAATACCAAAACTGTTTCTACCAATGTTAAAACAAAATACAAGACATTCTTTACTTATATTTCTATTGTGATAAAAGATACGTTTTTTTTTTTAAAAAAACCTTCTTTGTTTCTTAAGTATTATTGCACCAATGACTCATCCCATGGGAAATCACAACTTCTAGCTGTCTTCAAAAGAGTTCTCATTCTTTGACTCCCTCCTTCTGTTGTTCAAGTTCACTCAACAGATTTTTGCCTGGTACTCCTGCTTTTGTGGCAAACAAAATAGCAGCCTGCTTAAACCCTAGAGACTTCAGACTTCTGGCATAATCGGCAAATATTGCATGGATTAATTTCTGTGAAAGGCAGGTTAAGGAATATAGAAATGAACAATCAGATATCAGACTTCTGGATGAAAATGCTTAAAGCTGGCTCTGTGTTTAATCCTGCTGTTAGATCTGAAAATATTTGACAGTGAAATGTTTCCACAATTTAACACACTGCCTGTTATCACTTAGATACTTTAGATATGTTATCCTTTTTATTTTTGCCTTAGACTGAAAAAAAACTTTTACATGCACAGCACCTAATAAATAAAGTCACTATTAGTAGATTTCTATGCTTGAATTTATGCATAATTAAAAAAGGATATTTGCATCTTCATTAACTTCAATAGCACCATACTTAAGGCAGGCCTCAAGAAACAATGCAGCTCGGTCAAAATGCCTCATGCTGTTGAAAACAAGAATAAATGATTATGTTAGATAGTTTTTTTCGTCACTGTGCAGAAATATTTCTTCAGATATATGCAACCAGGGTGGATAAAAATTGATAATTTTTTTTAAAAAAATATCAGTGTTTTTAAATTTAAATCGGATTTTTTTATTTTTATAAAATTTATTTTAATAAAATGCTTTTGGAGTAAAAATCTATCTAAATATAGTTTTCTATTTAAGATACATTAATTCATCATGAATTAATTTTATTCATCATGAAATGGAGCTTAGTTATATAGCATAAGGCTGTATATTCTGCAATATTAGGACTATCGGTGAGTCAACAGCAGGTCAAAGGAGGAGCTGCTGCGGGACAGAAATGACAGTTGCTCTTTAAAAATTATTTTAAAAAGCCTTTCTACTAGAGATTTACTAGTGAATCGTGATTTAAATCAAATTACCCTGCATGCAACAGACACAATGGTGCCTTTGATGCAAAACTACAAGTTCAGTCACAAAAATGTAATAAGAATCAATAAAATATATGTGTTTCTATTCATAAAAGCAAATAAATATATTACTATTCAAATATGTGCTCACTATGGAAAAATGTATGGTGATGGATATAAGACTTGGATCACTTCCATTTAATGTCATTTGATTTCATTTTCAGTATTTTTCAACTTGTATATATTTATGTAAATTATTTACAAAAAAGTAACCAACACCTGGAAAGTATACTACAACCCTCTATAAAAACATAATTCCTACTAAGGAATTTTTATTTTTATTTACATTTTCTTTATATATTTCTGCACTATTTATTTATTTATTTATTTATTTATTTATTTATTTATTTTTTATTATTATTCGAATTTCTATACCGCCCTTCTCCTTTCAGACTCAGGGTGGTGAACAGCCAAAATAAAAACATTTATACATAAATACGATTAAAAATAGATTTAAAATAATTAAATTTGGCCCATAGTTTAAAATTTATCAATTTAAAATCCATATCAAAATTTAAAACCAACCATAAAATCATAAAATCAAGAGAGACCGGCAACTGAAAGAGATGAGTTTTTAGGGCCCGACGAAAGGTCCGGAGGTCGGAGATCACTCGTATCTCTGGGGGTAGATTGTTCCAAAGGGTAGGTGCCACCACAGAGAAGGCTCTCCTCCTGGGGGTCGCCAGCCGGCATTGTCTAGCCGACGGCACCCTGAGGAGGCCCTCTCTGTGGGAGCGAACTGGCCGGTGGGAGGCAATTGGTGGCAGAAGGCAGTCCCGTAAGTACCCCGGCCCTAAGCCATGGAGCGCTTTAAAGGTGGTCACCAACACCTTGAAGCGCACCCGGAAGTCCACCGGAAGCCAATGCAGCTCGCGCAGGAGAGGAGTCACATGGGAGCGCCCAGTCGCTCCCATAATCCCCCGCGCGGCCGCATTCTGCACCAGTTGGAGCCTCCGGGTGCACCCCAAGGGGAGCCCCATGTAGAGAGCGTTACAATAGTCCAGACGAGAAGTGACGAGTGCTTGAGTGACTGTGCGTAGGGAGTCCCGATCCAGAAAGGGGCGCAACTGGCGTATCAGGCGAACCTGATAAAAAGCCCCCCTGGCCACGGCCGTCAGATGCCCTTCTAAGGACAGCCGTGCATCCAGGAGGATGCCCAAGTTGCGGGCCCTTTCCGTGGGGGCCAATGATTCACCCCCAATAACCAGCGATGGCGTCAGCTGGCTATACCGGGACGCCGGCAGCCACAGCCACTCGGTCTTGGAAGGGTTGAGTCGAAGCCTGTTTCTCCCCATCCAGACCCGCACGGCCTCCAGGCACTGGGACATCACTTCCAAGGCATCGTTGGGATGGTCTGGGGTGGAGATGTACAGCTGAGTATCATCAGCGTACTGATGGAACTCCACCCCAAAACCACGGATGATCTCACCCAGCGGCTTCACATAAATGTTGAACAGGAGGGGCGAGAGGACCGACCCTTGTGGCACCCCACAAACAAGGCGCCTCGGGGTCGACCACTGCCCCCCTGTCAACACGGATTGCGACCGGTCGGAGAGATAGGAGGAGAACCACCGCAAAACGGTGCCCCCCACTCCCAGTCCCTCCAGCCGGCGCAACATGATACCATGGTCGATGGTATCAAAAGCCGCTGAGAGGTCTAACAGGACCAGGATAGAGGAGTAACCCCTATCCCGAGCCCTCCAGAGATCACTAGACTTTCAGTCAGAATAAAACTTGAATAGGCAATACTGCAAAGACCTCACAACTCCCATTTACTTAATGTCAGAAGGTACTATTTTTGTTGATATTGTTCCTTAAGCAACCCAATACCTAATATCATATTCATACACTGAATTCATTCAGACTAATTCCCAGATAGTTGGTCAGCCTAAATCAGATTCTTTATAGAATATACTTTTTCTCTGAAAACATATATATTTGAACTGACAGGCATATTTATTCAGACAGACATTTAAATGACTTCTGTTTTGACTTTCAAGAGGTTGTATCTAGTTGATATTGTATTATTTTAATGTTGTTGTTTTTTTAAAAGTGCAAAGTATACAGAGAAGCGGTTCATGTTGTTAAATAAACAGAATATATGAACTGACCTATGTAACATCTCAGCCACTCTCATGAAACAACCCAGGGAAAGTAGAACAAGGATTGCCTTGGATTTTTGATTGATTTGTGGAGAACAAAGGTGATCCACCCAACGCTTCAAAACATCTGCACATTCTTCTGCATTCAGGCGAACCTTGGAAAGATTCAAAGTATTTGAATACATTCTGGAAGCCAAGTCATATGTGCCAGTAAGATAAGTAAATGGAATAACGCTTAATTTATATCGCTTGCTTTAAATTATTTTCTATTTATTTTCTATTTAGAAATTATTTAGAGAATAATGAGAAACAGTCGGCAATTTTTGAAAAATGACATCAATAAATATCCACCAGTACTCTTGTTTATTCATGGTTTATGGCTATTTGCAAACACTTCCTGGAGCCTGGATAGCTCTGCAGACTAAGCACTGTAATTTAACACCAGCTGTCTGCAATTAAAGTAAGTTCGAATCTCACCAGGCTCAAGGTTGACTCAGCCTTCCATCCTTTCTAAGGTAGGTAAATTGAGGACCCAGTTTGTGGGGGCAATAAGCTGACTTTGTATAAAATATACAAAAGTATGAAGGCTATTGCTTAATGCACTGTAAGCCGCCCTGAGTCTCTGGAGAAGGACGGCATATAAGTCAAAAAAAAAAAAAAAACTTCCTATGGATACACCAGCTACTATTTCTCTCAACTTTTTAATTAGTTATACATGCCATTATTTCTGATAAAGAAGCAAAGCATCCTACCTTTGCAAGCCACGCAGCTCGATTCCATTCCCCATAGGTTTGTAGGTAACGACAGGCATCAGCAGCTTTATCTATTAAACACAATAACTGGACACCCTCTGGGGAGGATGGAAAGGGATGTGTGTGTACCAAATCTTAATGAGTCACAGTTCAAATTTTTTAAAAAAGTTATTACATCTTTTCCAATTCAAAATGATAGACAACTGCTTTTTGTGGAGGGGAAAGTACAAACACCTTTCTAACTTATAACCTTCTGATTCAATTTTAGGGCATTCACAACCATTTAATACTGTTTTGGTCTTCAACACATGACAAAAAACCCCCAAAGAGATACAGACAGTCCTTGACTTACAACCACAATTGAGCCCAAAATTTCTATTGCTAAGTGAAACATTTGTTAAATGGGTTTTGTCTCATTTTACAATCTTTCCCGTCATAGCTGCTAAGTGAATCACTGTAGTTGTTGAGTTATTAACAAAGTTGTTAAATGAATCAGGCTTCCCCATTGACTTTGCTTCTCAGAAAGTCACAAAAGGTGTTCACATAACTCCAGGACACTGCAACTGTCATAAACACATGCCAGTTGCCAAGCATCTGAATTCTGATCACGTGACGATGGGGAGGCTGCAACAGTCGTAAGTGTGAAAAACGGTCATAAGTAACTTTTTTTTAGTGCCGTTGTAACTTCAACGGTCACCAAGTGAACTGTTGCAAGTCAAGGACTACCTGTATATAAAAATTTCAAAGCAGAATTCATTTAGTCACAGTATTTGACTGTTGACAGTATTTGCCTCTATTTCACCTCCATTCTTTTTAATGCATTAATAAATCAAAGACCTGTAGAAATAAGATCATGTTTGTCAATCTTTATCAGATGAAAGAGAAAACAGGCCTCCCCTGCACATTATTAGATGAAATTAAACTAAATCTAAAGGGGGGAACTGATAATGTTGTAAAATTCTTCCTATATACAGAAAACCATTATATTTCATTACATTATATATATTTGTCTCTTGAACTTTAAAAAGACAATGTGAGGTCTAACATTCCCCTAACATGCATTTTAATAGCTGTATGCTCAAACTTTTGAGGCGTTCTTATCAGAATGGAAATTATACCTGCCAGCTTTCCATTTGCAATCATGTTTGTTGCTACCAATTTAATGGTACTTTGGGAAGGGCCTGAGGAAGTAACTGTGGTGACAAGACATGCCTTGAGTGAATCACAATAATAATAAGGGTTCTCAGCACTGGTTTCCAAAAGCAACTGCACAGCTCTGTCAGTCTGGAAAGAGGAAAAAGATAACTATCAGTGTAACAATTTACATCAGCAATATTGCTTAATATTCTTCTATATTTCTAATAAATACATGTATCAAAGAAGATTAAATCAATACAAAAAGCCAAATTTGGCAGCACAAACCTGGCCCAAAAGCAAGAGTTGATCTGTGCATTTCCTTGTGTGATCGTAATTTGATCTTTTAACTTCTTGAATATTGACTCTTTCAAGCTGGAATTTCTGCAGGAATCATAGAAAAAAAATACATTTTTTGATAAAGGATAAAATCAAAAGCAAATTGGCAATTGAGGCATAGAATAACATTTTCTTCCAATTTACACTGATGTTTCAGTTCCATATTCATGTATGTAAGTAAAAATAAATAAATAAAAACGTATGAAAAGCTTTTGAAAAAATGTTTAAATGCAAGATAAGGAAGTTAAAATAAACTGGGAAGCAAATGGAACCAAATTGGTATTAGAATTAAGCAAATAGTAACAGAGGCGCAAAGGGAATTAGGAATAAGAACGAATGAAATATTAAGTGAGCATTAACAAGGCCCTGGGGCTTTGTCCAGGATTATGTCTGTAGGTACAAGTAGAATATGCTTATGATAAAAATGCTGCTTTTCTTAATGATCAATAGTATAATAATCCAATTATGCGACCTCATTTTGCTATGAAGAAAAATGAAGATTTCTGCTTATCACTGAAGTGAAACAACTGTTTACTTCTTACATGTTAGTAAACAGAAATTGTGATGAAAAAGTTCTCTCTAAGCTTCTGAAATTCATCATAGCCGAACTAATTAGGATAATGATTGTGCATAAAGAAAAGTGTAATGAGTCTCAGGTTGTAAGATTATGTGACTGTAAGTATAACATTTCCTATACTTCTTCCTGACAGAACTTCTACAAATTCAATGGATCTTGCATTGCACAAATTGCAACAAATAGTATTAATATATATGCAGATATGTGAGTTCTACTCAATTAAAAAATAATAACCATTGTGTTTGTACCTCCGAAAGCTTCAAATGAAATGAGAACATGCTTGTGAAAATTACTAAAGAATATTTTGTGGATTTGAATGGATTTACGATTTTAAAAATCAAGCAATACCTGGAAATAGGAATTTTCACAGAGAATATCATAACATATATCTAGCGGACTGATCGAGTTTTCTTGAGAAGCAAGTACATCTTCTGCCTTCATGGTTAATGATTTGTTACAGGAATAAGTATGCAAATAATGGGCAGCAACAGTCCAAAAGTGTAGTTCAGATTCATCTCCGTACAGCCTGAGAAAAATAAAAACCTACATTAATAGTTCAAATTTAAAATCAATGAGTGCATTCGCATATCTTGTGAATCCAGGCTGCACTCTCAGATGTATTTTATTTCTTTACATTTATTTACAGACTTTCTATTCTTAGGAGCCTAACATAATTAATACATTAAAATAAAATATGAAAATCAGGAAAAATACTAAAATTATCAGTGATGTAATATAAAAAGGCTTGACTGAAGAGAATCCTCTGAACTATTTTCCTGAAAGCAGGAAGATTCGGCACTAAATATAATTCTTGATGATATAACTTAAGCTGGAATAACTGAACTCCCATCATCTTTGACTATTTAACATGCAGAGAGGGAGTTATGGAAGCTGTAAGAAACAAAAGCTGGAATCTATGTCCGCTTTCCTCCTTCTAGGATGTCAAAGAGAAGAATCAGAAAATATCTGACTTTGACAGTTTGTTATGGTGCCCAAATTTAAATTACGAAACTTCTAATAATTTTAAAGCAGAAATAAAGTCAATCAAAACTTCTGACTTTTTTTGTCCTTGCTTCATTTGGACAGTAGACTTATAACCTCCAAGATTTCAGCATATTGTCTAAAATGTTCTGGGAATAGAAATCCACAGATCTGGAAAACGTTGTGCTAAAAGTATATATATACAAAAGTATGAAGGCTATTGCTTAACATATTGTAAGCCGCCCTGAGTCTCCGGAGAAGGGCGGCATATAAATCAAATTTTTAAAAAAAGTATTATTCTTAAAGTTGTGCATTATTATGAAATAGTATCACAGACACAGTACTTAGACCCAAATTGTTGGGGTCAATATACTGACTCTGTAAAACTGCTTAGAGAGGCTGTAAAGCACCCTGAAGCGGTATATAACTGTAAGTGCTATTGCTATTGCTCTTCTAAACTCTGTTCCCCATTTAAGGTAGGGTAGAATTCACCCAACATGAAAGATCTTAAATCCAATTTAAGAAAACGTATCAATATACTTAACTTCCCCTCCCCCCAAATAAGCCATCTCTTGGTTTATCCCAAAAGTGCTTTTTCAAAAGGCAACTGGACTTTGTTTTTTTTCCTTGAAGATGTTTCACTTCTCAACCAAGGAGCTTCTATTCTATTCTTTTCTGTCCTTAAGAAGCTTCTTGGATGAGAAGTGAAACATCTTCAAGGAAAGAAAAACAAAGTTCAGTTGGCTTTTGAAAAAGCACTTTTGCCGTTTAAGTCAACTATGATCTGGATGACTAAGAATCTCCATAGAAATCTTATGGTTTAGTGTCATGGATAGGTTTACACTAGGTACTAAGACTGGGATTCTGCAACCTGCTGTTCCAAAAACCTGTGCAATTGTTTGAGCATTCTGCAGAAATCCAGCCAAGGTACTTCACAGATATCAAAATAGCAATATCCCATAAATGTTATAATTTGCCTATCCATCTGCAACAGTAAAAAATAATGGATTGTTAACCAATGTTATACTAACTTAGAATTAATAGGGTAAATGGGAAGCATTTCTTTTACAAGAGTTATTACACTTAATTTTACAATGGTTGGGGTAAATAATTATAACTAAACAAACCAATATATTACCCTAATGAAATTGTCCTTATTTTTTTCATTTCTGTACAAAAATTAATGCAGCACTAATTGTATTTAATCCTGGATGATCTACGATGTTAAACATAAATAATGTACCAATTCTGAAACAGAAAATATTCAGGCTTAGAATTATATAAGAACTATTATTAAAATAAACCTTTGGAGGTTATTTAGGAAATATTATATTACCTTGAAACCAATAAGCATCGCTGCAAAAGAGTGAACTCTGGATCAAGCAAAAGTTTCTTGACATCACTGTAAAAAGTTAAACCATTTCAGGCATATATTATGAGTCCCTCCCCTTTTACCAAAGACAGTTTCAAAAAGAACAAAAACAAAGAGCTCTTTGTTGAGAAGCAAATTATTCACATTCATTTTAACAGAATGAAAACAATAAATAAAAAATACAACTGAACTGTACCTTACTAACTTTACATACTAGTGAAGCAGGGATGGGTTCTAATTTATTTTACTAATGGTTCTGTGGGCGTGGCTTATTTTGTGGCTTGGAGGTCATGTGACTAGGTGGGCGTGGCTAGCTGGTCAGAGTCATTTTTGGAAGGTCCTCGCACTTACGACCAATCCTCGCACTTACGACCCGACTCATTTGTTTGCTTTTAACACTGATCATCTGTAGGACGGCCCTTTGAAGCCCCGCGGCAAGAGTTTAAACAGTTTTTTTCTCTCTAGTCATCAGCTGGGACTCAGGAGGCAGCAATAGATTGGGGGTGGGACAAATAAAAGGTAAGAATAACGTGGGTGGGTGGGTGGGTGGGAGGACGGGGGGGGGAGAACCGGTTCAGTGACGTCATATCGTCACCGCTACCGGCTCGGCTGAACCCGACCGAACCGGGAGGAACTCACCACTGTAGTGAAGATAAAAATATGTACTATTGCACCAAGCCTTTTGTATGCTGAAAAATGTATGTGAAAAAAGGAACTTATTTCTCCATATCCTAGGCATACCTATAAACATTACATACAGACACACAATTATATACACTGTTCAACTAATGACTTATTAGTTTTATGAAATGAATACCTATCATTATGGAAGAACCTGTATCCACTGTGTAACCATATAGGACAATTTGGCCTAGTTGGTATGAACGAATAGTATATAGCCAAATGTTTACATATTGTAAAGAGTCTTGACTTTTCTACTGAAATATTTTTCTAGTCTTTTATTAGCAATAGAAAGGCAAGAACTTCGTGTTCAATATCCTGAAATTCATAAATGTGAGTTAGCAACAATTTTTGCTAAAGGCACAAACCCATAGTACATTAATTTCATCATAGTCTTAACAATTGTTATCAAATTCTCATTAGATGTGATTATATAATGGCTCCAGAGATATTACAATATTTTAAAATATTGTTATAAATATGTTACATATCTGCTGAACAAAATGGGAAGTAATACAACAATCACATCAGTATGATTACATGTATTAATATCTATCCAAGAAAAACTGATGTTGGAAACTAAGAAAGCTACTTTAATCAATATGTCAAATTATTGAATCAGACTGTTGGAAAATAAAAACCTAATGCAGCTTGATAGTATGATAAAAGCAAACAAAGACACTTTTATTAATCCATTTTGAAGATATAATATAAGAAACTCAAATATGCTTACTTGGACAATGAATATAACTGCTCTTGTAACATATTTTTAATATTTTCATTTTCTGGATAATTGCTGAAAAACAAATGAATAAAGGCTCAAGAATCAATATTGATTGCTTATGTGACATCAAGTTGCTTCAACTCCTAATGACCTCAGTAGTCGAATTCTGACAATCTGAAATTAAATTTACATGCTGTTCCTAAGTTCAATTTGGTCAGACTCACAAGAAGAACCTTTACCTTTACATAAAAAGGTAAAGGTTTCCCTCTACCAGTCGTGTCCAAATTTAGGGGGAATTGCTCATCTCTGAATTACAGCCGAAGAGCCAGCATTCTCTAAAAGATGCTTCTGTGGTTTTGTGGTTAATATGACTATACAACGAATGCTGTAACCTCCCCACAAAAGTGGTACTTATTTATCTACTTGCATTTACATGTGAGGCTGGCAGGAGCTGGGCCAAGGAACAGAAACTCACTCCATCACGTAGTACTTAGGTCTTGAACTGCCAACCTTCTGTTGAAAAGTCCAGCATCTTAACCACTCAGACACTGAACCCAACCCTTATATACATGTTGCTATTTTCTAAAACCAAATGCTTCATACTAAAAGTAAGTCTTACATATATGATATATCCAAAGAATACTTATTATCCCAAGGCTGGTGAAGTAAGAAAGCTTTTAAAGCTAAGGATGCTCTTGGAGGAGGAAGATATGGGCACCATACGGGTTCTAGAAATAAAAATAGGACAAGAAAATAACTAAAATCAATATCAATCTGATGATAAGGCTAATATTTATTCTACCCTTAACTAATAACTACCATTACTGAACTTTTTTGAAAAATGAAATAGAAAACTTATTGCCATAGCAAGAACAAATGATTACAGCAGTGGTGACTGGGGAATTCTGGGAGTTGAAGTCTACAAGTCTTAAATCTGTCAAGGTTGGACACACCTGGATTAGAACAAATGAGTAATTTCTAACTGAATTTGTGTGTACTTAGTTATTCAGGATAAAAAAGATAAAAATTCAAACTAAAAGCAAATAATATTCATTGTACATCTTAAAAAGTGAATATACTTTTATTTTTTGGAGGGAAGGGATTTTGTGTATTAACAGTATTTTTTCAGGGATAAGGGTTTGACATTATGTTTAGATTTTAGAACAGATTCTCCTTTGTAGACATTCATATAGAAATAGTTTTATAGAAATGTTATTTGTACTAGCTTCTCAGAGCCATAACAACAAAAATAAGATACATAACTAATAAAGAAATTTATTTTTAAAATCATTAAGAGGTTTAGCTATGTCAGAATTCGTTTAATGGCCTTTAGAAGAAATCTATGTAAAAGATTCTTTTTGGTGGTTAAGCTACTAAAATAATTTTTCCCATTGAAAGTTTGTATTTGTTGAAGGCAATATTTGAATTTTGCTAATAGGAAAGAAGACTAGACATGATCACAGAATTTTTATCACACCTGGCACATTATTTTTGTATGGTTTGATCACTTCATTTTCGCATATTCCTAATGAACAGGAACATGATAATAAGGTTGTAAAAAAAAATCCAATCCAACTTCCAACTCATAAGTGATCCAGACTGATTGTTATCTTTTGGTTTTTGGTCTCTCAACTATGCAGATAACTGGACTGATTATTACTGGAAATATATGGCTGAAAGGTATTTCTCTGTTTGTATCACAATGTAGATTCCCAGTTAGTTATACAAATACCAGGTTGAGGTTAAAGCATTTCAAATTTTTCCACTGAGGATTATATAAAATATTTCACTATTCAGAAGACATTTTCATGACTTAATCTCTTTCTGTTTGTTTGTTTAAATCAGTATAGCCAATTTAATAGACCTTTTCTGTTCCATTATTATTGACTGAGATTATAAGGGATGATGTGGGAAGATGTTGGGAAAAGAAACAGTTACCAAACACATAATTAGGGCTGAAAAGCTAATGCAGGTTATGTTTAGTTGCATTTGCACTGACAGATAAATACTGTTTTTAGCTTCATGCCTGCCAGGTATGCAAATTACTGCTTTCAAAAAAGAAACAAAAAATCAAGTCCCTATTATTAGGAAGAAAGCATTTGCAAACAGCATGAATCTATATTTCACAGAAGTTAAACAAAGGTGGGAGTTTGTTATTCATGCAGGACAAAAAGTAATATGCAAGCGGAAACAATTGTTTCCTACATGGGTTTTAACAAATTTGGAAAAACGATTTTATGCCTCCGTCAGCATGGAATGCCAACTCACTTTACTCTTGTGAATTTGGGGTGAAAATGAAGCGGAAAAGGATGATTTCTTGTTTGATTTCGGAGTTCCTATTGTTTTCTATACTTAAATCTTTCAATTTTTGCCCCATCAAAACACAGGAGACAAACCATTTGGTTGTATTACTTTACATCAATTATGGAAAATCAGTGAGTTTGTTTTCAGAGCTTGAAATAAAATGTTTTCTTTTTTAGTGCAACCTATTATTTCAGTTAAGCAGTCAGTGCCATTAACTTAATACAAAATTATAGACAGATGTGAAATAGGTTACATATCTACAAGCCACAGGATTGACCTGTTTTTTTTCAGCAGTAAAGATAAAAGTCAATCATACAGTCATATGGTAAAGCAGTGCTAGTGATTTTATCACATGGAAAGGGAAAATCCTTCCTATACAGATAATCTAATATTTCACAAAAATATCTGGCAATAAATTAAACATTTAATATTAGAATGTCTGAATATGAGTGAGCCTATGAACAATAGATGTAATTTATATATTCAACAGTCTGGTAATCAAATGGCAGAGTAAAAAGCAGAAAGCAGTATTTTAGATTTACAGATTGCAAGTAAAAATTTTGCAGAAATTATAGATTATATTATCTTTCTGTATTAAATAGAAAACTAGAGTTTATTTTAAAGTGGAACATTATACACACTTTTGTAATTTATATATGAGAATTAAAAAAATGAATGACTGAATTGATAAAAAATATTACAGTTAGAAGTATAAAGAATAAAAACATTTTATACACCTATTTTCCAGGAAGTAAATGTTGAATGTAATGGATGTGAAACAAAAGAAGTTATTATCTGTGTAATCCTCTAAATTTTATTTTTATATTTGTAAAGTATTTTGTGTCTTTTTGTATTGAACAACACATTAATTACTAAATTAATGATTATCATTAGAGAATGATAATTCCTTGCTTTTGTTAAATAAAAAAAATGCGATACACAAGTTTTCCCCAAAGATTCAGACAAACAATTTGATGGCAACTGTGCATTCAGGATATTTTTTTACTGTGACCAAATATATCGTACACAACAATTTATGCCTTTGTTAACTGTCCAGCTGAAGCACAATCCCATATGGGATTGCATTGAATTACACAAGATTTTCTAGCCTTCTTTTCTTACTACAAAGCTAATGGATTCTCCAGAATAGCATACAAGGTATTGCAAAGAATGCAACCAGTGTAGAGAGAATTGTGACTTGGAAAGGGCTGAACCTGCAGCATCCATTGTCATGATCAGCCATGCTGCTAGGGATGCTGAGAATAGGAATATAGCAATATCAGGCAGACTGTGAGTTCCCCATGAGTTTAGAGAAAGAAAGAAGATCAAGAGTGTGTAAACCATGATTTTCCATTTGCAAATTGGGATCTTTATATCCAATTCAACATATGAATAGATGATTTTTTCCCCAGTAAATATTTTGTGAGCAAGAGCTGGAAACAAATAAACCCTTTGAAATTATGACTTATTTAACTTGTGAGCCTGGGGACTGGCTAAAAGACCTTCCTTTTTAAAAAAATTATCTCCTGCACTAAAAGTAGAGTTAAAAAACAGGCTTTACAATTCATGTACTCCATGTCTACAATACTGAGTTTTCTTTGCAATTCCACATTGTTCTTATAGTGTAGTTTAAAAATCACCCCAGTTCTTACACCCACAATTTGAAATTCATGCCATATCTACAAATGAAATATCTCTGCCTCATTTCAATGCTGGCTGAAATATTCCCATTTTACTACAGCAATATTGTACAATGCAATTCCCCCCAAAAAAGGGGTGGGGTTGGTGGGGGCAGACTGGAGCTTAACCTTACCTGACAATTCTTGTTCATCCATTCTAAAGCACGCAGGTTTCATTGTCATTTCTAGCACTCTGATACAACCATCATCTGAAGCTAAGATCACTTTATCTGATGTGCACCAGTCAACATCAAGTACACGGAAACTGACATTTCTGCCACTTCTTAAACTGCTTACCATCTGGACCTAAAGGATATAGAAAATCTTAGCTTTAAAATGTTTATTGGGTACTTCATGTAAACATAAACCAAAAAGGATTTTGTGGATTGCTAATTATTCTGTATACAAATTAATTACTAGTATTCATTTCTACTTTATAATTTATGGACATTTATTTCATCTCTATAACTCAGCTTACCTTTTAAAGACATCTACTATTTCCTGAGTTTAAAAAAAATCACAAAAACCCTGTAATATTTCTTCTTTCATAGTGAAAGAACATCTTTTATTTCAGAGTGATGTTTTTTTCATGTATTCCCTTTTTTAAGATATATAACATACATACATACATACATACATACATACATACATACATACATACATACATGTTAATATATCTGCAAATGCCATATTCTAAATAAATAATATATGATTTTTGATTGAGTTCATTGGTTTATTCTGCAGGAGTCCAAAGAAGCTTACATTGATTCATTTTATTTTTCTCCCTAACAACCCTTTAATTGCGGACTGAATTTGTGTCTCCAGCACTTTATCCACTGGAAAGAATGTTATAATAACTTGAATATTAATATACTATCTCTAATTTTATTTCTACATGCAATCAAGAGGTTTGTTGAATTAAAGAAGGCCTTAATTGTCTAAGTGACATCTATGTCTTTTAGTTAATTAAAAATTATTTTTACTATATAGAACAAAAATCAGCCGAGTTGATATCTTACCTCCTTTGTATCCCAAACCTCAGCCCCATCATTGTATATTGCTATCAGCTTTTGGTTTCCTTTCCCAGGAGCAAAGCGTATCTTCCTCACCCAGCCTCGGTGGGTGGGAATGCCCCTGGCAGAAGATGAACAAGGAACAGATGGGAAAATTGCTTAAATCAGAGGTGGGCAATTCATTTTTCCAAGGGGCCATATAAGAAACTGGGACTGTTATGGAGGGATCCCCCTCCCACCACTGCTATTGCAGGCCAGACAGGGATACCCAAAAGGATGGATATGGCCCAAAAGGCTGTAAAATGCACAGGCTTTGACTTTAACAATTAGGTGGCTCAGTGGCTAAGACGCTGAGCTTGTTGATCAGAAAGGTCGGCAGTTCGGCAGTTTGAATCCCTAATATAAGTTCCCTGCAGGACTAGATGACCTCCCAGGTCCCTTCCAACTCTGTTACTGTTATATTATAATCCGCACCATCTAGATGGGTATAACTGATTAATCTCCCATTGATTTTGCTTGTCAGAAGCTAGCTGAGAAGGTTGCTAATGGGACGACATGACTCTAGAATGCTGCAATAATCATAAATATATGCCAGTTGCCAAACCAGATTACACAATTCGTGATTACATGAATGTGGGGATGCCTTGCTGTTCATAAGTGGGAGGACTGGTCATTAGGGTTTTTTTTAGTATCGTTGTATCTTTGAATTAACAATAAAAAATTGTTGTTAAGTTGAGGAGACTTGTACTATGTAGATCACCATCAAGAAGTCAGTCACAAGATACAAATCATTTATGATTTTGCGTTTATAGAATTTTAAGCAAATTACCTGGATACCCTAGCTTTTAAATCCCAGAAGTTCAAATTGCCATCAACATCTCCCAGAACTAAGGTATCACCTTTCCAGGCAATGCATGTAATACTGCCCATACTTCCCTATAAAAATTTAAAAAGCAAAGATTAAAAATCAGCAAAATAGTAATTTGAAATATACATAAACTTAGAGGAGGTAGTAACATTATTTAATCCCAACAATGGAATTTTAATCCATTTATTAATATACGTGACCAGGGGGGACGTATAGACAAGCAATTGCACTTTTAAGAATAGCATGAGGCAGTAATTCAAGAGAAATATTATCTATGAATCTCAGATGCATTTGATACAACACAAATACATGTTAGAGAATTGTAGTGAGATTCTAAAGGTAAAGCTTTCCTTGTCTATTCGTGTCCAATTCTATTCATGTCCAATTCTAGGGTGCAGTGCTCATCTCCATTTCTTGGCTGAGGGAGCCAGAGTTGTCCGAAGAAATTTTCTGTGGTCATGTGGCCAGCATGATTATAGGCCAAAGGTACAAGGAGTGCTGTTACTTTCCGACCGAAGTGGTACCTATTTATCTACTCGCATTTGCATGCTTTCAAACTGCTAGGTGGGCAGAAGCTGGGGCAGGAACAGGAGCTCACCCCACTGCATGGCGCTTGGGTCTTGAACCCAAACAATCAGCTTTCCAGCAGATAACCTAAGCATCTTTAACTGCTCATTCCACTCAATGAGATTCTATCAACTTGGAATTGACAAAATAAGTGTAACTGATGTAATAAAGTGAATGTACCCACAGTATCAGATTGCCCAATGATGAAACCTTTCTGGATTACTTAGAGCAAAAATTCAGATTTACTTTCAAGATCTTGTAACGGGATTTGAAGCTGCACTCTGTAGCATGACTATAATGGGCAAACTAAAACAAATTCATGGAAGGCTGAATTATTTTCTCTTTCATCAATAGGTAGACAAAAGGTAAAGAAAGTAGGAACTTTCATTACATCTACTTCAAACTTTTTAAATCTATAACTATTGAAAACAGACATTCAGCAATGAACTTACATCAGGAGGAATTCTCGCACTGTCTTTGACAGAATTCCCTTCCACTGTCAAGTGATAAACTTGTCCATCAGTATCTGTAAAAACAAAGTGCTCCCGAGCAGAAATGTTCTGACTTAATTCAGATTTACACTCTGCTTCCTGCAACAAGCTTTAAAAGAGAAAGCAGTTAATGTTTTATTTAGTCTAGATCAGTAATATGATATGGGTGCATATGCACAAATGCTTAAAATATACATCACAGGAAAGTAATCATGTATTAAGTAATTTATCATAAATATATATTACTATTGCTGTAAGCCACCTAGGACTATCATGTGTAAGATAGGCAGCATATTTATTTGAAAGAAATAAGTAAAAATATATCAAATACAATCTGTAATTTTTTTTAAAAAAAGTGGATTGATAAAATTGTATTTCAATATTAAATTGTCCCTTTATATGAAATAAACAAAGGATGTATTTTACTGCATCACTGTACAACACATTTTAACATTTAATTCTTTCTGTTGCTGTCCAAATGCTTCAACATTATCAGGTTGATAGCTGGTTTAAATTGAAGTCCAGCTAAACTTTTTATTTTCATAGTCCAGAACTAGTGAAATGCTAGAAATGCTAATGGAGAATAATCTTGGACAAATGACCTCTCTAACAAATACTTAATATGAATTTTCATTTAGACTGGTATTTATACCTGATCATTGAAGACTCCAGACTGCTCTGCTCTGTATCTGATACCACTGTTTGCCTCGCCATCGCCTCACGGGCTGCAAGTTGCTTCTTTCTTAAACTCTTCAGATTATGAGAAGGAGACCATTCCTAAGAGAAGAAAACCCAGAACATCTAAAGTTTTATCAATACAAATCTCACTCAAAGGTATCTGGATAAAAAAAAAAAAAGAATACTATACAAGTCACTACTGCAGTTTTTCTAATAATCTGAATTCAAAAAAGAAAATAATGTATGTATTTATCCAAATGGATTTTAAAATATATATATATCTTATATATGAAGCTAGATAAAATTTCTATCTTACCAAAGCAGTAATAGTAGGGAAGTTTTTAGTCATTTCTCTGAGAAGCGTACATGTCCTGATATCCCATAATTCCAAAGGCTTATCTTTGAAAACAACTGCCAAATACTGCCTAAAATTGGGGAAAAAAACCCAAGATTAAAAACACATAAGAAAATTTCATAGCAAATATGATTGTACTTCATCTTGTTTTATTTACTGTCCTAGAATATCTATTTAAGGGCTTTATATAAATGACTTATATATTATTTAAATATAATTTGTATATATATTTATATTCTTATATAAATAATTCTAATAATTTTTGATTATTAGTGCCCAGAGTTGGTTTTAAGTGGGTTGTAAGGTAATTAAGATAAACAATTTACCATCACAACATTGCTCCTAATAACTAAACCCTATGACTCTGCTGATAAAGGCCGAAAGAAGCTTAAATTTACTTCTTTAAAGAGATGAAATTAACAATAACATAGCATTTATGAAAAACAATTTACAAAATCCTAACATCTAATACATGTTAACATGGGAAATGAAGAAAACAAGGCTGGATTTATCTCTGGATAAATTCTAGTATTACCGTATTTTTCAGAGTATAAGACGAACTGGAGTATAATACACATCTTAGTTTTTAGGAGGAAAATAGGAAAGAAAAATTCTGCCTACCAGATATTCATCTGGCTAGCATCCTTAGTTTGGTCAGCTTCAGCACATTCGTTTGCTTGCTGGTTTTGAGGTTGGGGCTGGTTGGGGCTAAAAAACAGCTTCTAAAGCACAGCTGATCGTCAGAGAGAGCAGCAATTAGAAAAGCAGGCAAAGCACAGAAGATCACTTCGCTTGCCTTGGGGCTGAAAAACAGTTTCAAAAGCACAGCTGATCGTCGGAGGGAGCTCCAGTGACTAAAGCAGGCAAAGCGCGAAAGGGGTAAGAGAAGGCAGCAGCTGTTCTGGATAGCCATTTTGGGCACTGTGCGTCATGTTTTCAGCCCCCAAATGCATTGCGTTTTCAGGTGGCAATCAGCAGCGATGTGCTTTGGCGATCCTCGCAGCCTTGAAGGGCTCTCAAACGGAATATTTGGAGGCGCGACGCGTGGAGCAGTGGTGGGTTTCAAAAAATTTTACTACCAGTTCTGTGGGTGTGGCTTGGTGGGCGTGGCATGGCTTGGTGGGCGTGGCAGAGGAAGGATACTGCAAAATCCCCATTTCTTCCTCAATCCAGGGGAAAGTTATTGCAAAATGCCCATTTTCTCCCGATCAGCTGGGACTTGGGAGGCAGAGAATAGATGGGGGCGGGGCCAGTCAGAATTTTTACTACCGGTTCTCCGAACTACTCAAAATTTCCGCTACCGGTTCTCCAGAACTGGTCAGAACCTGCTGGAACCCACCTCTGGCGTGGAGCCCAAAAACACAAGTCATTGTCAGTGGCAACCTCTGCAGCCAGGAAGAGGATGCGTGAAGGCCAAAGGGTGGGGGCCGGTGGGTGGGCGGGGTTACATTCAGAATATAAGTATAATTTTCAGCCTCTTTTAGGAGGGAAAAAAGTGTGTCTTATACCCTGAAAAATACAGAAACAGAAAAATACTTTGAAACAGAATATTTTTAGTGTCATATTATTGCAGAAAGCAATAGGAAATGGTTCTAAAGCAGGGGTGTCAAACTTGTATCATCACATTGTCACATGACATATTGTGACTTTTCCCGCCTTTGCTAAAACAGGAGTGGGCGTAGCCAGTGCATGGTGCATGGGCCGCGGGTTTGACACCCCTGTTCTAAAGAAAGGGGAATAGAAGAATAAGATTAATTTTATATGCTTTTCACCAACAAACTACTCAGTATCTGAATGATAGACAGCACTATTATATGCACCAGTTTTTCACTTGAACATTCAAATTTATTTGCTTGAAATAAATCCATTCAGAGGGTTAAACAATAGATTCTATATAAACATATAAATAATTAGAGTAACTTTCTAAAGGAATCTTACATAACCCACTACAGAGACTTGCTTACTTCAAATGGGACACCTTTATCATTTCAATTGTTGGTTCATCATTTCCTCGCTCGCCACGAAAGGCAATACTCCTACCTAGGAAGATTATGCACAACATATGTAAACTATCCAACACAAGCAAACCTGTTGTGGCTGATCTTTCAAATTCTTATTTTAATTCCATTACATTTCCCCTTCTTAACATTAGTTTCCAAGTTCCATACATTGTTTTCTGTATTATAAATAACCCCCAATTTTTTCGCCCAATTTTAAAAGCTCAGTGTAAATTATAGTAAATGCAAACACTTTCTCTGTGATCTTGGACTAATCCTATCTGTTCAGTCCAGACAGGTGGACAGGGTCTCTAGCTTGCGCAGACAGATGGAATAGAAGACCTCCAAGGTTCCTCCCAACTCTATTCTAATTGTATTGAATCAATCAGTTCCCAGTACTGAAAGTTTCTTAAGTGTCTTATTCACACAAGCTACTTTTGTTACAGATTCATGACATAATAATTTCTGCAAAAAGTTATGTTATGATCTAAAGATAACCCAGACAGCTAGCAGAGGTTCTCTTCACGTAAATGTTGCTGCACCCATTACATTCATCATACTGAAGAGCAACCACTTGCTCTCACTGATATCTATATATCCCAATTTACAATGAGTTTCAATCACTTATTTCAGAATGTTCTGCAGATAATTTGATATTAATAGCCACTAGTTCATACACCAATAACTGTATGGTTCTCCCATGCTTATTTATGAGAAAATGGATATACTAAATTAGAATTTTTGTGTCCATCTTTCTTTCCCACCAGTATTACATAATATAAAATATACATAATATAAAACTGTGTTTGAAATATTGTGGAACAGATCTATCAGAAAATATGTCAGTTTCTATTTCATCACGTTTCTAAAACTGTACTTTCTTGTGGTAGCAGTTTTCTCTAATTAGTGAGATCAACATACAACACAGCAGTTACAGACTATGGAGAAAAATTAAATTCCAGCCAAATAAATTTAAAACTCATCCAAATGAATTTAAAACTTAATCCACTTGAATACTTTGCTGAATATAATGTGACATTTCTTAGTATTTGCTTCTTGCTTCTTAAAAAAAAAAAAAAATGAAAGGAACCATACCAATGTAGGGCCAAGCTAATAGTATATGAAAACCATTGTGCAATAATGTAATAGTCACAACATTTAAGCATAAGATCAAGGTCTGAATCCTAATTTAGACACAAAGACAAGTGGTGAATGCACTGAACAAACCAACATTTCAAAGTTAAATCATTGATCTTTCTACTGTAAGGTCCAAGCAATTATGCATTTCCATATGTGCATCCACATATGGAAACATCTTTATATCTCCCACTATTACCAGCCGAGCAGAAGCTTCAGCATCAATGCTAATATGTACAAAGAAGAATTGGGTATTAAATAATATAATAATGTTGTAACAATACATTTATTAAGTATAAGAAGTACTGAACTAGCAAGCTTTTAAAATTAGTTTTGAATGTGTATTCTCAAAGGAAGCCAAAAAGCTTTTCATGTAAACAGTGTTCAACAGTTTTACAAATAATGGCAAAATCTTCCAATTTATATCTTGAAGAAAAAATATGAATTTAAAATATATTGAACTTGCTGAACTTTAGTTATCTAAAATTTTTAATCTGTTTTTTAAAATGCGTTAGCCATTCATCTATTTCTGCCATTGTAAAGTTTTAAATCCATCAGACAGATTTCAGTACAAATCCACTCTGCACAGCTACATTCCTCTATCTTATCATCAAATATTATATTGTGCAAAGAATTTACCTGTGGGAAGATCAACCATTTGCAATTCGTTTCTCACTAATCCCAAATTATTAGGTGTAGATGTAGCAAATGAAAGGAAGCCATTCAAGCCTGTCCATTCAATACCCCTATCAAGGAATAATATTGAAGTATATTATACAAGCATTTCGAAGTATAGGAAATAGTATAATTTTATGGGACAAGGAGCAAAAATACTCAATATGCATTGGAGGGGAGAGTAAATATACAACATTCAATGTTTCCCTTGAAATGAAAAAAAAATCTTACCATTCCATGGATTCACCATACAAAAATATTAATACCCTATTTTCCCCAAAATAAGACATCCCCTGATAATAAGCCCAATCGGGCTTTTGAGCACATGGCAATACGGGCAAGCACTTATTTCAGGATTCAAAAAAATATAAGACAGGGTCTTATTTTCGGGAAAACATGGTATATAGAAAAATTATGAATAACAGTAATACATATTATTTTCAACAGTTTAAAAAGGTTATTAAAAATTAATTCAAAATTTCAGGTATAAAAAAGAACTCCCATTACTTTAAAGTTGTTCTGTATAAATTGAAAATAGGGAATATTAAAAAATGTTGTAAAACCACTGGGTTGATACTGAATAATTACCGTATTTTTCAGACTAAAAGGGGGTGAAAATTTAGGTGCATCTTATACACCGAATGTAGCCCCGCCCACCCACTGGCCCCTACCCTTTGGCCTCTGCCTCTCAGCAGTTACCTCCTTGCAGCAAACAGCAAGAAAAAACAACTCCTTTCAGCTTCAGCACAGCCTAATTAGCACAAGTTGATTGGATTGGTTTCCCGACTCTCAACTGTTTTGCTCTCAGCTGTTTTGCGCAGACCTCTGCTGCTTGCTGCAAGGAAGAAAATTGCTAGAGCAGATCTTTTTCCCCCCTTGTGCTAATCAAACTATGCTGAAAACGAAAATGAAAGTAAAGCAGATGGCTGTTTGCTATAACGAGGCAAGATTGCTCAGAGGCAGAGGCAGAAGGAGATTTCTTTTTCTTGTTTTCGTCACCAAAAAAAGGTAGTTGCGTCTTATAGTCCGGTGTGTCTTATACTCCGAAAAATACGGTACACCAGTTTCCTTTAAATAAGCTGCATTATTACTAGCAGTAACACAGCAGCTAACTTAGCAATAATTTAAAGAATATAGTATTATAAGAAGATATAAGGCAAGGATTATTAATGTTACTTTACATTCGGCACTGTTGTATATATTTTCCATTAAAATAAGAAGTCTCAATAATATAAATCTACAGATAAATACATGGAATACGTGGATGGAAGCAAACTTTCATTTGCATATGTATAATTTTCTTGCAAAAATAAATGTTGTAATTCATGTACAATTTTGGAAAAAAAACGACTATTTCTAGTAGTATTTCTAGTAAATTAAAAAATGTATCTGCAAAGTTATTCAAGATCTCCTGAAGGTAACAATATTCAGCAAGCTCGGTATTTTCTAGCTCTGTTGTTCATACCTTTTTGCACAGGCCTAAAGATTTAATTTGATTAAAAGGTAAACATGCAGCATGTACCACTGAACACAAATCTGTATTTTCATATAAATGGAGAATGCAAAAACTAAATTTGAAGCTTTGTATCACGGTAAGTATTCCAGTTATATTGGAAGTGTTCGGAAGTAGTCAATTTTCAATCTCCAAATTTCAAGTACACTGGCATAAAAACTGACATTTAATGCAATTAAGGGTCACGCTACATTTGTTTTATAGATTACAACTCTGTGCTTAAAATGTAACACTCGTGAACTTTATTAATAGCCTTTGCAGTGGATTTATAGAACAGAAATATGGAGTCCCCGAGCTTTAAAATCTCTGAATAATTCAAGGCAATCTATTTCATGAGTTCCTTTCTAGCTGCTGTAAAGAAACAATGAAGAAAATTCCTTTGTTATATTCATCCAGCAGTCCAAAACTGCTAAGTCATTTTAGTAAAGATGGTCCTCAAACTAAGACAGTAATTGAACCTGGAATCACAGTTGTAAGTCCTTGCAGTTGTTAACTGGATCACCACATGACAATCCCTGATTTTACTAGTTTTTGCTGCAATCACTAAGCAGATGCAATGGTTGTTAAGCAAACATGGTAATCATTCAGCGAATCTGTTTTATTAAATGGGCATTTTTGCCAGAAACCATAATACAAGAAACAGACAAAAACGTTAAAAACCAAAACATGTGACTGTGGGATGCTGCAAACAGCATTTGACTATCCAATATGCAATGCCAGTAACAATTAGAAGATAGCAGAGAACAAATTATGTAAAACTTAAAAGCAACACAGAATGGCTACTTTCCCCAGTGACCTCTATGAGCAATGCAAATTGTCTATATATGTTTATTTCTGAGCTTGGTTGTTTCATCACCCAGCTAGGTAATATCATCAGTGAGAATAACTGTGTAATTTATTCCCTGTTTATGTAGCTTACTCTGTCAGTTTTGGTGAGGATATTGTTTTCACTTTGGCAGTTTCTTGATTAGGGAATTGTTTTCTGCCTGATAGTTTTGTCTGGTGTTAATCTCTGCTTATCTGGATATGGGCTGTTAGAGAAGTTGTGTTCTAGTCCTTTCTTTCCCCCTTCTTAGCCCTGAGTTCACAAAGGACTCACTAGTTAAAATATGAGGTACATACAGTACAGCGGCATGTTCCAAATCCTATCGCTACTGGTTTGCTCGTGCACATGCGCGCATGCGTGCAGCACTTCTGGGTGGGGGAGCCTCCCGCTGCTGCCACCGGTTCGCCCGATTCGGTGTGAACCGGTAGCAACCACCATTGATACAGTACATAGGAATCGTCTATATGTTCTTGGCAACAAAGTACATATTAAGTTTTCATCTACTTCTTGCACTTTTGTCATCTTTAGTACTTAAATAAGGCAAACTCTGATTTGGTTTGCCACGTGCTACATAAGTGTCATGTATTAGATTAAATGCTTTCAGACATACTTAAAGCTTTAAAAATGTTGGAACAAACTGCAATATCTCTGCACAGGTACAGATGTCCAAAACAATATTTATCACTGTCATGTTTATAAAATAATATAAAACTGAAAGATTATGGTGAATCCCAAATCAGATAAGCAATTCACTAGGGGAAAAAGTGATTTAAATAATTTTGCATGGCTTTAGGCTGCTTATCTGACATTGGTCTCCAGCCAGAAAAACCTCCAGGAGCAGAAACATGCAGTAAGATTTTGCACAGTACAATTAATGCACAAATCAAGAAAGGATTAGGAAGGATGGAAAGCAGGAAGGAAAAATTCAAATCTTATTTAAGTTGTAACATTTATTCTTATTGTCTCAAAAACCTCAAACAGAACTAAAAAGTTATCTCAGTTTGTCAGTTTGATGGATAGTCCTGATCTATCCTTTTAAATGAAAAAAACCCTCTATTTTGTCCTACAGGAAAAACAGAATGATTTTAAGCAAACAAACACAGGGCTACGTTAAGCAATCTTTTTCTCCCAAGTGATACTGTATTCATGATCCCAACTTCTGCTAGCTATTGGGAACAAGATTTTTTTTTTTTTTTTTACAAGGAACAACTTAAAAAACTCCTTCTCTAAATGGTTTGAATCTTATTTGAACCAGGCAGGTCTGTCTATATTGCAATGTACTAAAAAAAGCAATTTTTTGTGTTCAGGTATGCATAGTAGTTACCAATTCAAATATTTATTATGCAAAACCATATTTACAACCAATCTATCATGATTCTATTTATGGAAGTAACATTATTTTACCAAAGGAATATCATCTCAGAAGTAGTCAAATGTTTGCGTTTAATATTTTATTTTTTTCCCCAAACCGCTTCTAGGACCAACAATTAAAAGTAACTCACTTGACTTCACAGGAATGAATGCTTAATTCTTTATATAGGTATCCGCTAGTAAGATTATACACCAAGACCGACCCATTGCTTGTTCCTGCAAAGAATCATTTTTCATTATATATAAAAATAACAATTTATATTTAAATTATTATTACTTTGCAAATAAAAATGAGCCTGTTGAATTAATTTTCCTGATTCTTCTACAGCAATAATGAACATGTAGGCTATTATCCATAGCAAATTAGCAATGTCAGTTTACAAAGTTGATGTAAACCCTCTATATGGATGGCTGCTGAGGAAAGAGACATCCTTAACACTCAAAATTTCTACTTAATCAAGGATCAAGAAAGTATTCAAAGATAAAGACAATCTATTTTTCCAGGAAGATGAATAGTTTATTCAAGGCAATTGGTGAGTATTGAACTTTCTGACACACTATTACAGAGTAATCAGAGTAAATGTTTTCTTTAACCTGCGTAAGAAGAAACTTCATTGTATGGGTCCATGGATAGGGATCATAGGAATCAGATGGTAATACTGGGAAGATAATCAGCTCCTCATCATACAGCTTTAAATAAACCTGTTTAGTACTGACTCTGAATTCTGAAGTGGCACACCAGAGAATTTCACCTAGCATTAATTATTATTGTTGTTGATGTTTTTAATTATAGTTTGTTCTGCAATCAAATTTTTATATCGCATCTTATATTTTATCTTATTTATTATGATTTGTTGCAATCATCCAGATGTTTGGATTGGATTGGACCAGACAAATAATAATGGATGGAAACTGAACAAGGAGAGATTCAACCTGGAAATAAGGATAAATTTTCTGACAGTGAGAGCAATCAACCAATGGAACAACTTGCCTTCAGATGTTGTGGGAGCTTCATCACTGGAGGCTTTCAAGAAGAGATAGGACTGCCATCTGTCAAAAATGATGTAGGGTCTTGCTTGGGTGGGGGTTTGGACTAACTTCCAACTCTGTTAATCTGTATCTAACTGGCATTTTAATTCACCTGTCAAGTCCTTCCCAAGGACCTGAGAGAGGCAGATTTCGTTTGAATTATTATTATGGTTCTTCACGCAGTCAGACAGATTTTAGATAGATTTGGCATTTTTATCCACCTAGCCAATCTTTTCACAGCCAGTTGTTTAGACTGCATTTGGCAATTTTATCCATTTATTGAGTCCTTTCCAAGGTCCTAGGATAAGCAGATATCGTTCTTTGGTGTTAGAGGTATCATCTCAGGATGTAAGCTATTTCAAGTAAAGCTGCCTTTTGCAATTGACTGATAGTGATTTTGTCAATGTCATATATTCAAGTGGTGTTCGATATATTTTGGAATTGCACTCAAGGTGCCTATTACTATTGGTATTATCTTTGCTTTTTGGTGAAAGTCATTACACTTCTATTTGGAGGTATCTGTATTTTGCAATTTTCTCCAGTTCTATTCTGGTGTGTTCAGATACTGCAATGTCCACTATCCAGACTTCTCTTCTTTCTTATTCCCCAATATTCTTGCTTCCTATTTGCCCTACATGCTCTTGATGGATGTTCACAGTTCTCTTAAATTATATTACTTTATAAACTGTTATACTGGATTTTAGTGTCTATAGAATTCTTCTTAGGCATTTGAATTTTAAGTATTTGTTCAATTATATAAAATTTTATTTATGACAACAATTCTATAATATGTAAGCATTTTTATATGTGATCTAGAGAATTCTTATTGGGTGACAAATAATATTGTTTAGGAAAAGATAGCCAAACATAAGCACATCTTTCTGCAGCAGTGTTTTATAGCAAAAATTAAAGAGATAATTGGTCAGATTCATTTTAGAACATTACATTTTTAGTGGCTTATAGTCTGAAAAACATGTTAGCAATTGCAATTTCTAAAATATGAGACAGATAAACCTACAGTCAAGAGGAAGTAAGATTATATTTTAATGAAATGTTGAAAGCAGCGGTTTACGTTAAAAATTAGTATTACAGCAGTTTAGTGACATGCTATTTTCTATATTTTTTGAAATATTTTCTGAAACTGCACTGAGTTTATTACGCAAAGCTAATACCGTGTTTCCCTGAAAATAAGACCCTGTTTTATATTTTTTGAACCCTGAAATAAATGCTTGGCCTTATTGCCATGCGCTCAAAAGCTTGATTGGGCTTATTATCAGGGGATGTCTTATTTTGGGGGAAACAGGGTCTTTCATAGTCAAACTGAACAATACATTGAACTTTACTGCTTAAAAAAATACTTACCCACAGCAAGCAGGGGCTGATATTGCTTAATATTTTTGGTGGTAAGAGGTGGACACATGCGAATAGCAAATGGAGGCAAAGGAAGTCCTGAAAGGAGTCCTGTTAAAATGAACTTCAAATGCACTTCTTGCAAACAATAACATTTTGCTTGATCTTCGGTAGACAGTGCACCTTTATTGTAGAACAGAAAACAAAGAAGTTGTTTCTGGCATTATGCAACTTTGTGTGCATGTGTGTGCATGTGCAAGTAATACATATATACATACATACCTACTATATTTCTCTGAAAATAAGACCCAACTGGAAAATATGCCATGGCATGATTTTTTTCAGATGCTCGTAATATAAGCCCTACCATAAGCCCCAGCAGGGTGGATAAAAATTGATTAAAAAATAAATAAAAACCTGGATTTTTATTTAAATTGGATTTTTTTTAATTGGATTTTTTTTATTTAATCACATTTTTTTGATTTTTATCAAATTTATTTTAATAAAATGCTTTTGGAGCAAAAATCTATCTAAAGATAGTTTTCTATTTAAGATGCATTAATAATTTAGTGTATTCAGCATGAAATGGAGCTTAGTTATGTAGCATGAGGCTGTATATTCTGTAATATTGGGACTGTCAGTGAGTCAACAGCAGAGGAGACACTGTGGGACAGAGATGACAGTTGCTTTTTAAAAATTATGATTTAAATCAACTTGATTTAAATCAAGCCTTTTTAGTAGTGATTTAAATGATTTAAATCAACTTGATTTAAATCAAATCCACCCTGAGCCCCAGTTAAGATCATCAGCCAAAAGGATGCATTTAGCACCGCATTTCCCCCAAAATAAGACCTAACCGGAAAATAAGCCTTAATGCATCTTTTGGAGCGAAAATTAATATAAGATACAGTCTTATTTTCGGGGAAACACGGTGTGTGTGTGTATGTATATGTGTATGTATACACACACACACACAGAAAAAATATTTCCATTACAGTAATGGTTTTAATAGGTAATTGCTTCTGCATTCAACAAGGATGAATCCACTTGAACTGAAAGGTTAGTTTTATATAGCAATAGCACTTAGATTTATATACCGCTTCAGTGCTTTTACAGCCCTCTCTAAGCGGTTTATAGAGTCAGCATGTTGCCCCCAACAATCTGGGTCTCATTTTACTGATCTCGGATGGATAGAAGCCTGAGCCAACCTTGAGCTGGTGGGGCTTGAACTGCCAAACTGCTGGCAATCAGGAGTCAGCAGCAGTAGCCTGCAGTATTATACTCTAATCACTGTGCCACCATGGCTCATATTAGCATTATCTAAGAACTATATATTATCGTTATCTAAGAACCTGAATTAATTTGCGAGAATTGTGCATTTGTTTATTTAACAATGCACATGTTTAATCAAAATCACCCACAGTATAATTCATGTTTCATTTCCTAATAATTTAACCTTGAATATATCCAACTAATAATTCTCTCACATCTTTTTATTTTATTGCCATGACCCAACATTTGTTATTAAAGAATGAAAGGGAAAGACACCTGAATATAATTGAGAGAAGAAAACACAGAAATTCCTTAGAAAATGCAAGAGAAGCAATACCTTTCAAAAGTCTTGACACTTAAATGTAAGAAAATATTTACTGGGATGAAGTTTTTGTAGATTTATCATTCTGAATATTTATGTATGGGCATTTCTATCATCCAGTTGTAACATTTCTTGCATTTGCCCTTCTGGACTTTATCCATTCATTGTTGCAATGAAAGGTGCAACAAAAGCCTTTGTAATTATGATTAATAATAATTGAAAATATTCCATCTGGGAAGTACAAGGTATCAAGTTTTTTTTAAATATGCAGTATATAGAAATGTTTATTTCTATATATAGAAGAGTATACCCTGCCATTCATCAAGGTATGTAATGCTTTAATGACTAAAGTAAATCAGCTTATTTAAAAGAGCTATTAGTAATTAAGAAAAGTAATAAATACTTAGTTCATGCATTACATAGTTAACTATTCAATCATACTTCACAATCAAATCATGAAACATACTGTAGAAGTATAGCTACTGTCTTTTAAGAAAAGTTGTGCATTGTTCATTTAAAAAAATAATACTTTCAATATTTTTTTATTTGTGAGAAAAGTTAATGGTATGCACACATATTCATGTGTATAAGCTATTTATTCACTGTTCTATATTTGTTTTCCTCCAAAAGTTGATAAACTTATACTTATATACTTACTTATCATATTATCCAGTGACAGATCTGGAAGCTTATTCTGCAAGGTCCCAACAGGAATCCCACAAAATGAGATAGGTGAATACAAGGGTGATATGTTGGAATGGCTAAAATAGCAACAAGAAAACTTCAGCATGTACTGAATTATCTTCTAGTATAACTAACAAATAGAACCCAAATGAAATTGTATGAGGATTGGTAAACAGAATGAAGTAACCTTGATTTTCACTTGTTACAATGAAAGTTTTAGACAACAGATTTAATCTCTTCTCTAACAGTTCCTGCATGTATTTTTTTTTAATTTTCCAATAAAAGTATCTGTATTACTATTAAAAGTATCTCTATTACTATTATTCATGTTAGGGATAAAGTAATTAATTTTCAAGAACTGTTAACCAAAATTCATGTATAATATTTTAAGTATTATCTACTCCAACATGAGTGTTTTAGCAAGTGTTAATTATCTGTCAACAGTGAAATATATTGAGGAGGTAAACAAAATCCAGTGAAATTTGATAAATGTTGCCATTTAATATATTTACTTCATAAATTTGCAGATACATAAACATGTTAATTCCTTTCTAATGCATTGAATTTAATTTGTGCTGGCTAAAACAATATATTGCTAGGATATGGCAGAAGCTACCAGCTTATTAAACCAATTCACTTTCTTTTGATGACTAGTTATATAAAAGAAGATTACTCTAAAAGTTCTGCCCACAATCATAGAAATTACAGAATTTTTGGCAAAATTTACAGTTTGCTTTATTAATAACTTATTAGATTTGGGTAGCAAGCTCAGCACTGAATGATTGATTGACTGATTACATGCTATCAAGTTGCTGTTGGCTCTTAATGACTACATAGATTCTCAGCATGCAGCAAACCAAGTCCAAAATGCTGCCAATGGCTTTCTTTATACGACTTGCTTAATGTTTCTTATGTTACTTGGATCCAAGTGCCTGTCATCTGACACAATCTAAAACCTAATATAGCAAAAATTTCTGCTTCAAGTATTAAGAATTTTCCTGAAGTTGAAGGACAAAGAGAAACAGGTTTGAGCAGCTCTGCATTGGGAAAATGGGAAGGCAAACATTTAGAACAATGACCATCTTTATCCATAACATGCATGGTTCCTTAAAGAATAAAGTACTGGGATTAATGTAGCATAAAGTGGCAATGAAACTATTAACCTTGGTACAGCTGCAATCCATATAAATCACATGCAAGTTTTATCATGTGGTTCATGTGTTGTTAGCTGCAAACTATGGTTCATATTACTTTTTGAAGATTGCATTTGTATTAACCTTCATACTTTCTGGCTCTAGAAAGGTGTACCACAAACAGGCTATGATTTTGGTTATTTATGCCAGAAAACATCATCATAAACATCATCATCATCATCATCATCATCGCTTTAGCATTGTCTATCCAATGCAATATGAAGACCTCTTCTGCATGTTTCTAACCCATATGGTCTTGAGTATTCTTTTGCCAATTGGGTCCACAATACTTGCTAACATCATCGATCCATCTTGTTTAAGGTCTCTTTCACGGACACTTTTTTATCAAGTAGGAACCATACTACGACAGCCTTAGTCCATCTGTCATCAGTTCTTCTAATGCCAGAAATACAATGTAATAATTATTCTCAAGCATTCCCTATATACATGTATATACTGTGATAAAAATGGCACCAAGTTACCTGGTACGTATACCTTGGCTTGAAATGGTGGATTTCAGCTCCCATATCATTACTCTTCCATCACTGACTATAAGAGCTACAGAATTTTCATTCACTGGACAGCTCACCATGCTAAATGGGCGAACTGTCTTGGTAACCCTAATGGCGTCACACTGGCTTCGTAAGTCATAGATGAGTTCCTGAATGGGGTCAGGATCTGTAAATGTTAAAATGTAAGATTTGTGGCTACCAGTCCTTAGAATTAAATGCATTCATGTTAGTCTTTTGTTTTTCACTATAACATTAACATAACATGAATTCAAACTATTTTGTAATATTGATGTCAGAGGTTGGGTATATTCTAGCAGAGGAAGTTAATTTACCATACACCATATTATGGAGAATAACTGAACATAATGAAAGACTCAGTAAATGGTTGCTAGAGACTTAGATATAGGAGCATACAATGTACATTATTGCAGCATATATATTGCAGCATTGTGCCCTTTGATTACTGTCGATCTAGTTCTGTATCTGTATTCACACAAAGCTTTATTATATTGGATTATCAGCATGTTATCTGTATTAAATAATGAAATATCATCACACTAAAATTGTACTAATTTTTAATTTCAGCTGCAATCTAAACAATCATGTAATCTGAATAACAGTGAAATCAAATGTCAGTTAAAAACATAAATTCCTAGTTTCTGATGCAAGGCATATGAGTGGTAACTTACCTGCTGACTCTTCATTTGGTACAGCACTTAAATTAGTGGTAGATCTGCGAACTCTCAGAGTTATACAGCCATTTTCATGTAGGCAGAACAATCCATCACGCTGGCAACAAGGAATTACCTAGACAAAGGTATTAAAAAATTAAATATAAATTTAATGGACATAAATGAGTAGGAATTGTCATAGTTGTATGAAGTGTTTCTACACTGGCTCTTGAAACTGAATGGACCAGGCTATCCTAAACCTCACCTATAGCTCACCAGTTTCACTTTAAAGTCTGAAGTTTAACTTAACTTTACACTTTAAGGAATGCCCATCCTATTTTTCCAATAGTTTTAAATATCCTTATATATCCCTTAAGCAATACTTTTACAGGTTATTTGTAAAAAAGAAAATAAAGAATGAACAGTGAATTATAAATATATTTAAAAATAGAACATTGTATCTGAATTTTATATTGTTTATCATCAACGCTAAAATGAAAGGGTACCAAGCAATACTATTTTATTAGATTATTTCCCTTAATTGTAGAAACACAATATACATATATCAGGAGCTGGTAAAGGGGGAAAATCCTTTTAATGTGAATGATGTAATATTACAGGTAGTCCTTGATTTATGACTACATTTGGGGCTGGAATCTCAGACACGGAGCGCAGTGATCATTAAGCAAGATGTCCAAAATCCCATTTCTCTTGATTACATTTGTTAAGAGATCTCCTGAGTCATTAAGCAAACCCAGTGAAGGGGATGCCTGCTGATATTGAATTCAATCCCTTCGGTATGAAGAATGGAACTGCTCCAGCAGGCTGTAGGAATGGAGCTGGATTTTTCAGGATCTCAGCTGTTTCTCCAGTCCGCTGGAACAGTTGTTTTCCATGCCCGGAAATGAGATGAACTCTTCCAACAGAGTAGAGAGGTGAATCTCTAGTCTTGAAGTTCCCAGCTCTGTTCCTGCAGCCCCCTGGAACAGTTTCCTTCTCCATACTGAAGGGAATTGAATTGCCTCCCTTCTATGCACAGACAGTTCCTTCAAAGGCTGCAGAATGAAGTTCAGATCTTTGGGATCTGACCTCCCTTTCTGCAGCCCTTTGGAGGAGTTGCTTTCCCCTCTATGTATAAAAGGGGACTCCTTTGGAGTCCTGCAGAAATGGAAGTCAGATCTTCAAGATCTGAGCTCCTTTTCTGTAGCTCTTCCGAGGAATTCCGCTCCATTTGTGGAGGAATTTGTTGCAGAAAGGGAACTCACATTCCAGATTTCAAAGGGCTGCCTGTAGTGGTAGGGCAACCTCAACTCCACATGAAGTTTAAATTTCCACCCAGCTGCAATTCCTTCCTGGCAGGCAGCCCTTTCATACTCAAAGAACTGCAGGATAAGCTCAGCTCAGTTTGCAACGTTGATTTTCTGAGGAAATCAGCAGAGAAAACTGCAAATGGCAATGAAAACATTGCAGACAACTCTGCAACTGATCCTAAATGCAAACAGATCACCAATCATTCAAGATTGCAATCATGTGACCACAGAGAGGGTGTGGGATTTTATGAAGGTCAGAAGTGCTTTACAAGTTGTAAAGTTGTAAAGCACTCTTTCTAAGGCTGTTATAACTTTGAACAGTTGTTAAACAACCAGTTGCAACTTAAAATGCTAACAATAACACAGTATAAAATTATACATACATTTAAACAGTAAAAATATTTAGTGTGAGAAAAATCTATATTATACAGTACTGGTAGATTCACTCAGTTCACCTCTGTGAAAATATATCCAACTTTTTTCCCATTGAAGGAAACACAACACAACCAAAGCAGAAAACATAATTAAATTTGCTTTGGGATTTTAAAACCAAATGGGCTGACTGGTCACCTAATTTATTTTATATATATACATGGAAAGAGAATGTGAGTTATAGTCATTCATGCCTTAGGCACAAAGTCAGCAGTGTGACTTAGAGCCAGCCACTGTCTCTCAATCCTAAGAAGGCAGCAATAGCAAACCACTTTTGAAAATTTTATCAGAAAAACTGAAGGCAAATTGATTCCAAGCAGTTGCCTGACTCAAAGGCACGTGCTTTCCATAGAAAATACAAAGCAAGCAACATGTTTTTGGAAGAAGCTTTCTGAAAAGAAGTTAGACTGCACTTAATATATCAAACCAAAACCAGGTAATGAAGCCAGATTTCTTTTTATTTAGAATTTTTACGTATTAAAGAAAGAAGAAAGTGAAATTTAAAACTTTTGTCTAAGGTATGCTTAACAGTAAGTGGTATTATTACCTGTAGAAAAGGCACTCCTGTTCTTTCAATTGCTATTACACCTACTGTCTGATTGACTTCAAGATCCAGAACCAAGATTTCTCTTGGGTACAGTAATAACATGTAATTTCGCTTGGAAGGTAGGTAGGATAGCTGAAGGCAGTCATTCAATGTTACTGATTCAGCACTAAACAGACCACAAATAGACTTATTAAAGGCTTTTAATTGAGAGTGGGATATGTTTTACCAAGCAATTAATAGTCAAATAATTAAATTAAATCCATAACCAAATTACATATGCATTTCAGGTGTCTGACGAGCTGTCTCTCCCCCATGAGACAAGTCCGTTCCACTTGTTCCAGCAGAAGAGGCCTGCTATGGATCCTGCTTGCTAAGGTATTGAAGCAGAAGGGACTCAGGAGAAAAGCCTTTTCTGTTGTGGCCCCATTCCCGTGGAACATTCTTTCCCTGGAGGTGAGTACTGTCCCTTCCCTTTTGGCCTTCTGGAAAGGTATCAGAACCTGGCTTTGGCAGTTAGCCTGGAGTTTTAAAGATAGCACTCACTGCTAGAGGTGGCTGAGATGGTAGGTCTCATACCCATCCCCTTGAGTCCCTTGGCTCTTTTGGCATGTTTTTAGCAGTTTTTAATATTTCAATATTGGTTTGTTTTAATCTTTTAATTATTTTTCATCTGTTTTGATAAATTGTAAGCCGCCAGGAGTCACTTTGTAGGGGAGATGAGTGGCATCAAAAATTAATAAATAAAATTATAAAAATAAATATATAATTGTATATGTATATAAAATTACATGGCAGACAGCTACCATGACTGTTCCCTTTTGCTAATTGATAATGCAAGTAGCAAACACTGTTTGAACATATACTGCAGCATTGCAACTTTCATTTCTGAACTGATGAAAGGAATTTTATATTCCACTTTGTTCATGAGTTCTGACCAGGCCATAATGAATCTATTGTTTGGTGTTTTGACTGCTGGTGTTTTGACTAGTGATATTCATTTTATAAAAGTCCAGGTAAAATACACATATAAATTAATATGATAGTACATATGGGATAATATAGGGTTGCAGATTTTATCCAAGTAATCCCTATTTTGACTGATTGCCTTGCATTATTGAATTAGAAATTGGAAGGGGACAACGTCCTTATTTCCCAATGCTTTCCAGCAGTACATAATTTTTCTCCACCTTAGCCAATCCAAAATTTATTTGGTAAATCAACTGGAAGATACAGACTAAGAGAAATACTAAAAGTTAAGAGTTTAAATTTTAAAATACCACAAAAAAATTGTCTGTACCATTTATTAAGCTACAAAGAATGCATTGATAGTCCTAGTTTCATTTTTGACAATTCTGTACATCATAATCCCTAGAATTTAAGACATAAGAAAGTTATTTCTTATTTAGACATAAGTAAGTAAGTTGAAGTTGCCATAAAAGCTATTGAAAAATGAAGCAATACTGTAAGTATTTATTCTACTTTGGCATTAATGTTTGCTTGTTAAGAACACATTACAGTATAAACTGTCACATTTGTTTAAGTATTTGAAGAAAACTATTTGGAATGAGACAGAAATAAAATATATATTTCAATGTTTGTTAGGGAAAAAAATGCAACTATCAAGTTTATGACTGTTAAGGGCATGATTATTAAGTAAGCCAGTTTGAATAATTCTTGAGAACATTAGGAAGAATCAGTCAATACATACCTTGGTTTTTCATTAGTGATGAGGATTTTTACTTTGTCCAGAGCCTTTTTAGCTCCTGTGGCAGATACCAACTTATTATGAACAGGACTAGAATGAGGGCTGGAAATGTATACTTTTTTTCCTGAACTGATAGGAGCTTTAGAAGGAGAGAAGTCTGAAATAAACACTATTCCCTCACTTGTAAGCACTGCGTGAAGAAAACATAATGGTAGTAAATACACAAAGTAGTGAAATCATATAATTTCATGGTTACTATACTAATGGAATTCAAATACAAATGATTTCATGCAATGCTGAAATAGATGGCAGACAGCTGAAAGGAGTGTTCTTGGCAAAAAAAAAGAAAAAACAGGACTATTTTGTTTTTATTGATTATGGGCCTCAATAGTTAAATTTATACAGTTTTTATGTATTGTATATAAGTACCGACAAAAAAAATTCTTCAGTACACTGTATTTACTTCTAAGTGAAGCAGTGTAAACAAAGCATTATCTTTTCAAAACCTTCAGGTGTTCTTAACTGTATAACCTGCAATACACTTATCTATAAGTACACTACATACTTGGAACTGAGTACTAGTGGATTCATGTGGAGTCTTGAGTAAACGTACTAATTAGTGATTCTTCTGCATTTACTTTGTCATTTATACTTTTATATTGTTTCTTTTTAAAAAATAGGACTTTGAGTAGTTTCCAATAAGAAAGATATGAATCAAATAAATAAATACCGTATTTTCCGGCGTATAAGACGACTGGGCGTATAAGACGACCCCCAACTTTTCCTGTTAAAATATAGGGTTTGGGCTATACTCGCCATATAAGACTGCCCCTCTTCCAATGCACACCAAATAAAAATTAAAAAACATCAACTGGCTCACCTACAATGTAAAAGCAGCTGTGCTAGACCCAAAATGGCCCCTGTAACAAGCAGGAACCTCACACAGCCACAAAAAGCCCCCCCAAAAAACTTTCACACTCTAAACACACACAACACAACACAATTGGCTCACCCACAATGTAAAAGCAGCTGTGCTAGACCCAAAATGGCCCCTGCAACAAGCAGGAACCTCACACAGCCACAAAAAGTCCAAAAAACCAACTTTCACACTTTACACACACAAAATTCCACATACAGCTTTGTGAGATTTTGTGTGTTTGTGTAGTTGGAGTGAAACACTACAGAAACACACTAAATCTCAGAAAGCTGCACAAATATTGTTTTATTTTATTTTATTTTAATTTTTATATGAAAGCTAAATTTAAAACTTCCTAAACTTTAAATGGCTAGGTCTAAAAAAGAACAACTAAAAAAACCCCAATTGACTATTTTTTTTAAAGCTCCCAAAGGGGAAAAAAACTTACCCAATAGAACAGGGGTCTCCAACCTTGGCAACTTTAAGACTTGTAGACTTCAACTCCCAGAATTCCTCAGCCAGCTTTGCTTTGCTGGCTGAGGAATTCTGGGAGTTGAAGTCCACAACTAACTCCTTGCTTGATCGCAGGCAGGGAGTTGCTTGCTTGCCTGAATAGATTCAGGCAAGCAAAGCAAGGCAAGTGTTGCGACTAGCAGCTGAGGTAAGCAAGCTGGAGGGGGAAAACTTTTTCCCTTTTACATGGCTCTGGCCATCCCAGCTGAGTTGCAGGGAACTCAGCTGGGATGGGATCGACCGTCAGAACTGGGACCGTCAGAGCTGGGATCCTCAGAGTAAAAGGTAAAAAACTTTTTTCCTTTTACGTGGTTTTTGGCGATCCCAGCTGAGTTGCAGGGAACTCAGCTGGGATCGTCAGAGCTGGGATCGTCAGAGCTGGGATCGTCAGAGCCTTTCAGGCTGGTCTGCCTGGTTACAGGAGAACGACACCCGGCGTATGACGACACCCGACTTTCGAGAAGATTTTCATGTGTTAAAAAGTCATCTTATACGCCGGAAAATACGGTAATGCTTTGTATTATAGAATAACATAACTGTACAAAGCACCAAACCATAGATAAATGGGAATTATCTGAGCAGTTTGGAAGCTTCTTTAGACCGGTCATGTTCCGATATCAAGTTAGAAACCAGTATAGCTTTATATGCATTTATTTTGATAGAGCATTGCAAATTCAAAGCTCTTGTTCTTATCATCTGTCTGCTTTAGAATCTGAAAAACATATCCTTTTGTTTAATAAAATTTTATCAAACAAATTGAAATAACTAGAGTACTTAGCATTAGTATTTACTTAACGTAAGTTTCAAACTGCAACCCTCAAATCACAATTAGTCTCCAAGCTATAAATGTCATACCAGATCCATTAAATCATTTTATATTGCTTTTGGCCTAATTTTTATTAATTTCTATACAACTGGCAGTTATGTCCGGTAGCAAATATCTGATTAATAACAATAGTCATACTTATGGATTAGAAGACCACTAGCTCTCTGGTATCATACTTACATGTTAAATTTGAAGGATCAAAAGGATCAAATGAAAAAGAAAGAATGTTTTCTGCATAACTTTTCTTCCATAATTTGGTGCCAGTATCAGCATTCCATAGCACAATATAATTGGGAGGATGAACAGCAAGGAGTAGATCTCGAGATGCATCCTGATTCCATAACCACTGCATGTCTACAAAAAGAGAAGGTAGATTTATCAGTCATTAAATTTTAAAAAATATTTTCTCAGATTTTAAAGTAAATCAGATCAATGAATTTTACTTATTTTATCCCACAACCAAGACAAAGCCCTCAAAGAACATGGTGAAATACATTCATAGAAGACTTAAAGACTCTAAACATCATATGAGAAGACACTGAAGTATTCGCCCAAGACCGAAAATTCGCTGGAAATCCTTACTGCCGGATATGTTTAGTATCCGGCAGTAGCTATGTCTAGTATGGGATGTTCTAATGCTAATCCCAACTTTAATATTTTTACAAATATATCAAGGCAGCCAACATACCTAATACTCCTTCTTTCGCCTGGTTTCCCCACAGCAACAACCCTGTGAGGTGATAGGGTTGACAGAGAATGACTGGCCCAAAGACACCAACCGGGCTTTCATCCCTAAGACAGGACTAGAATTCAGTGGCCTGGTTTCTAGCCTGATGCCTCACCCACTAGACCAACTGATTCTATAGTTAACCATTTCTATTAATAAAGCAAAGTTTCACTTAAATAGAAAATACAATGCATTCTTTAACACCACTGTTCACAACATATGGTAAACAAACATTATATATTATTATTATTCTTTGAATAAGCCTTGCAAGCCCACCAAACCATTTTTGCAATGTTACCAGCCTTGTTTATATACAAACCTCCAAATTTGCAGAGGTCTACAATATATTGCCCATACACCTTGATGATACATATTGCACAAAGATATCCCCAAATATTCCAAGAAGCAATGTAAAAAGGTGGGGTCCCTTGGAAAGTTCTTTCTTTGGGTAACTATTATCCAATATCTTTATTAATGACAAAGGGAATGAAGTAGAAGGAACACTTATCAATTTTTCAGGTGACAGCAAAGTAGGGAGTCTGGCTAATATTTCAGAAGACAAAATTACATTATGAACTGAAGCCAAACATTGGACCAAATTGACTAAGTTGAGAGTTCAATTGTGATAACAGCAAGATCTGAATGAATAGGACAAATCAAATGCATAGGTACAGGATTGACTAGCCTTAGTGATACTTTGTGAGAAGGATTTCAAAATCCTAATAGATTGTAGGTTTTCAGCTGGTAATAATCCATTTCAAACGTTAGACTTTCACACTCTATTCTACAGTTAAAATGACCACTTACAGTAGTGGCAAAAATTGTGGAAACCTTTTGGGAAAAGTATATTTTTGAGGTTTAATGGCTAATAACACCACTTTTTTTTGGCAATTCAGGATAATCATATTCCACTGCTGGAATGGCCTGAGAATAGCCCAGACCTTAACGCAATTAAAAATCTATGGAGCCAACTAAAGAAACTTGTTAGTCAGAAGCGACCCAGCAATAAAGCCCAGTTAATAGAAGCAATCATTCAATTTTGGTTTCACATTATAACAGCTGCAGAACTAAAAGACTTGGTTCACTCCATGTTCTAAGGCTGTAATTCATGCTAAAGGATACCCAACGAAGTATTAACTGATGTGATAATTTTGTATATCTCATTTTTTCTACGTGTTTCACTTTTCTTATTTACACTGTAACTATTATAATAGCAAATCCTTCATAAAGGTCATTGCATTACATTCTTAATTAAATTACCTTTCCACCTATATATAATTTTATGATACTACGCAAAAAAAAAAGTGGTGTTATTAGCTAGTTTTAGAAAATACTTTTCCCAAAAGGTTTTCACAATTTTGGACTACTACTACTACTACAACTACTACTGTAGTACCCTGCCTTAGTTATTAGTTAAATGGATTCCATTTCCTATATATTTCCATTTCCTATATATACATTTTGCTTCTCTGTGTCTCCATGAGCTCACAACTCTTTAAAGCTTTTTGCATTCTTCGTTTTCATTAGGATAGTTTTGCCTCTGGTTTCAGTAATTCATTTTTCATTCTCTATCAGGTGTAGTCTTCAACTTGTTTATCAACTTTTGAATTTTTAAAAATCTGTCTTCCTCAAACCATATATAATTGGAAGAAAACACTTTGATATGTTATTAAACACACTGTGTGTATGTGTGTGGGGGAGAGAGAGAGCAAGCAACTATAATGAACCCAAGTTTAAAACCTGACACCCAATTTCTCAGTATTTTATATTTAAATTATGAATTGTAACCATCTCATTTCCATTTTATCACAGGGAGAAATCAAGATCAATTTCAAAATGCAATTACAGCATCTTATGCAATGTCATTAAAGGAAAAAAATAGTTGGGTCATTTTAGGCCATTAAAAGTTTCTTAGCAAACAAATGATCAATTATTCATGAAGCTCATCTTGAAAATTTCATTTCACCCAGATGCTGTGAATTTTACTTCAGGAATAAAACACATTTATAACTGTGAAGCTAATGAGGAATAGGGATAGCACTGAAAACAGCAGGAGATGCACAGTTTGCAATAAGAAAAAACTGTCACAAGAGAGCTGACAAATATTAAAGGACATTAACATGGAAAATGTACTTTTAAAGAAAATAATGTACAATCCAATTATTTATTATTATTCAAGTTGCTCTCGACCTCTGCTTTAAAGAATTCCAATATATCATCTTTTATCTTAAAGACATATAAACTGAATAATTGTTAATCGGATGATAACATATCTAAAGTCATGATTAGTAGTAGTAATTCAGTTCCAAATATCTGGCTGAAAATAAATATGATTTTATGCCTGAGTGTAGAAGTAAAATTTAGCCTAAAACTCATTCCATAACTTCTCTTGGATGCTAGACAATGATGCTTTATGAGAAGTGTTAGATACAAAAATGCAGATAATCTGCATATGCTTATCTGTTGCTAAGCCAGAGTTCCATCTAATCCTTGTTTTCAATAATTAATCTTACTAATTCAATAATGAAGTGGCTGAATCTGCATTTGGGAGTAACAAATATAATAAAAAATGAAGTAATGTTTTAAAAGTACCAATTACATTTCAAATTATTTGAATTTTCTTTCATACATATCTTTTCAGAATAGCCCAAACAAGAGGCAAGCCAGCATAAAGGCTACCATAATTGTAAGCATGCATGCATTTCAATTTATATTCCACCCTTTATTCAGTTGTCAATGGCATATATAGTATTTCATCCCCCAATTTCCCCCTGGAAATTATAGCCATGTGATGTACGTTAGATTGCGCGGGGGGGGGGGGGGGGAGGAATTGCCAATGAGCTTCCAGATCTAATGGTAGATTAAAACATGAGTCTCATTATTCCTAGTCCAGCACTTTAATCACTAACCCATGCTGACTTTTTTAATTTACAATTTGCAAATGACTCTCATAAGATCCAGTTCTCATCCTTTCAAGACTGGAATTATCTAAGCAACCCTATAAGGAATGCCAGACTAAGAAACAAATGTCAGAATGTAAGGCACACAAGTGTGGGTTATTGATGTCAGTTTCCACACTCTATCTATCTATCTATCTATCTATCTATCTATCTATCTATCTATTTGATTTGTATACCGCCCTTCTCCAGCAGGACTCAGGGCGGTGAACAGCCGAGATAAAACAGAGCATACAAAATTTAAAAAACAGTTTAAAAGGTAATTAAATAATTTCGGCCCACAATTTAAAACAACCCAATTAAAATCAATTTCAAATTAAAACCGAAACGGATGGGATCAAGCCAGCCCGGCTAGATGAAATAAATGATTTTTCAGGCCCGACAAAAAGTCCGGACGTCTGGTATCGTGCGTATCTCTAGGGAGAGGTCGTTCCAGAGGGCAGGTGCCACCACAGAGAAGGCTCTCTCCCTGGGGGTCACCCGCCGACATTGTCTGGCGGACAGCACCCTGAGGAGGCCTTCTCTGTGCGAGTGTACTGGCCGGTGAGAGGCTATTTGCGGCAGAAGGTGGTCTCATAGATACCCCGGCCCTAAGCCATGGAGCGCTTTAAAGGTGGTCACCAACACCTTGAAGCGCACCCGGAAGACCACCGGGAGCCAGTGCAGCTCGCGCAGGAGAGGTGTCACATGGGAGCACCCTGTCGCTCCCATAATCCTCCGCATTCTGGACATTTACTGATTTATAGCATCAAATAATCAACCTTAGTACTCAGGTAATTCACTGTTACCTAAAAAATAAGCAGCCTTACGGAAACAGTAACATATTTAGGTTGCCCAAAACAATGTAACATTACTTGCCATATAAATAGGAGTAAGCCAGGGGTGAAATCCAGATGATTCTGGACAACTGGTAGCAGAAATTTTGAGTAGTTTGGAGACTGGCAAATACCACCTCTGGCTGGCCCCAGAGTGGGGTGAGAATGGAGATTTTGCAATATCCTTCACCCAGGAGTGGGGTGGGAATGGAGATTTTGCAGCATCCTTCCCCTGGAGTGGGGTGGGAATGGAGATTTTACACTATCCTTCCCTGTCACACCCACCAAGCCACGCCCACCAAGCTCACAGAACTGGTAGTAAAAAAAAAAATGGATTTCACCACTGAGTAAAGCTCATTATAATCACCTCACAATTTAATGCTTCTTTCCTTAAAGTGAAGAATACTGGGTCAATTAATTTATTTACTAAAATATATTCCAAGGGAATAAATCCTGGATAGTTTATGTATGCTATATTGTCCAGAATTTGAATTATTTGAGACCATAAGCTCAAAGCTATGAGAACACAGATAAGACTAATATTGGAAGGAAAAATGATTAAGTGTAGGTTTAAGATACATTCATAACTTTGATCATAATCTAGTTATTATACAGACATAATACTTTCTTCTTAGAAAATAGCATTTATGTCCACACACACTTTCAGTAGGCTTAATACTTTTAAAGTTATAAATTATACAAATATAATTTCAGAAGTTTATTTTAGCAGGTATTATTTCAGGATAAGATAACCGGTAGCAAAAATCCCTGCCGCCCCGCCCCCCCATGTCCAGTTGAGCTGTGCAATCATCAGAGGCTTTTTTTTTATTTTTAAAAGCATTTTTTCAGCAACCTCTTTGGCCGAAAAAATGCTTTTAAAAGTAAAAAAAAAAAAAAAAAAGCCTCTGATGATCCCAGGGCTCAGCTGGGATCGTCAGAGGCTTTTAAAAGCATTTTTTCTACAATCTCTTTGGCTGAAGAGGTTGTAGAAAAAATGGTTTTAAAAGAAAAAAAAAGTTGGCCATACCCACCCAGTCACATTACCTCCCACCAAGCCACACCCACAGAACTGGTAGTAACAAATTTTACATTTCACCACTGCTCTGAAACCTCTATTTGAGAAGCTGGGTGGGGCTACATTCAGAGTATAAGACGCACCCGGATTTGCACTCTCTTTTTGGAGAGAAATAGGTGAGTCATATACTCTGAAAAATACGGTATATTTTACATAAAGTTTTAAAAACCTTTTATAATATGAAATAAAACCACAAAAAGTATGATATGTGACTGATGTTAATTTTAAAAAAAAGTTTCTAGAACAAAAATTAAAAATAGGGACTTTATACCAAGTATATCTCCTACACTAGAAAGAATTTGCATATGTAACATTTTTGATGAAAATGACAGTTTAAAAATAAACTATTTAGCATTATACTTTTCTAACTAGTACAATTATTCATTACTGGAACATGATGCAATATGGAAATTTCCTTACCTTGAATTGGTTTTGTATGCTCTTGGATTTCACAGCGAGCAGTTCCTGTAGCTACATCCCAAACAATTATCTTTCCACTAGCATCAGCAGTAGCCAAACGCAAAGCATAAGGTGATCCAACATTGTGATGGTAGTTTTCTTTAGCCCATTTAACCTTAAGACAGGTAAGTAAAGCTAGTAGTCATTTAAGACACTTAATAGCATTCATTTTTGGATCTCAGATAGTGAAGTTCATTACAAATTGAAAGAGACTGATTTACGGCATTTATAAATTTTTAATGCAGAAAATATAATAAACTAAAAAATAAAATAAATTTAATATAAAAATTTTGCTTTCTTAAAATATTGACTAGACACAAATATGACCTATATCAGTACTCAACTCATAAGATCTATGCCTGCTAAAATTGATTTTTAAACATATTTTTGTATAACTTTCTCTCTTTGCCAAATAATCCACCAAAGTTTAAGTAAAACGACATAATGTTTATCTATTGGAAAACAGAAATCTAAAGAGTGGAAATAAAGTTTGAATGGAATGGCTGACTAGAATCAAGAATACTCCTCTAAAAAAATCAGACTGTAAAATACAATTTATTAAAGGACACTTGTTAAATAGTAAAAGGCAAATGTGGTTAAAATTTCATAAATCATTTTTATGAAGTATCTTAGCTAATTTTGCTGGTATAAGAACCCTTCTTTTGCAGCATTCTAATTATTCTTTTCAATGTACCTTGACTACAGTAGCCTTGTGCTTTTCCAAAACCTGTAAGGTCTGAGCTGTTTTGGAGTCAATCACCAGAATGAGAGAATGGCATCCATATGCAATCAGTCCTTGCCAGCCCCTACATAAACAGTAATTGTAATATTAAATATACACCAAAAAAAATCATTCTGCTGAATCTTCATAGAAATATATGTTGCTGAAATGGCAGAGAAGTTATTAAAATGTTGAATCATAAATCATTTGTATGTACACTGAGAGCTTATGCACCAGATATGAATTTCTTGTGTATCCAATCACACTTGGCCAATAAAGAATATTCTATTGTATTGTATTTAATTCTTGGATATCTTCATGTGTTTCAAATACACCTTTTCTAGTCTCAGAAAACATCCTGGTAAAATAACTGGAAAAGTATATAAACTATAGTTCTTATTCATAAACGTTCTTCTTATTCTTGCAGTAATATCTTACACCATTTGCTTCATGGCAATTGAACAGAATCTTTTCTTTCTCCATCCTTATTGTGTTTCACTATACTGTACTTTAACCAATGGTTACCATTTTTGCAAAATTTCATAACTGGTCTCATCAAACATAATCCCAACTATTTTAGAGTCCCTAAACCAGTTCTTGCAATATCCTATCCAAAGTCTCCTTCCCTCATTCACTTTTAATTGCAGGACTTACAAACTTAAAGGTACTGTTGTTCTTATAAAGGCATTTTTAAATATCTTAAATTCTGATGCAGAATTTAAGCAGGTTTATATGTGAAGAAAACTAAAAAAAAAACTATAAATATACATATGTGTATATATAAATAAAGCAGTATATTTGTGGATCAATATTAGGAATGAACCTATATGATAACAGTTGCTTTGAGTTGAGACAGTTTTTAATTTTTCTTTTGTTTTTATCTCTTGTTGATATCCAATACCCAACACCTAGGTTTGGGATAATATATAATATTAGAAATAAATAATAAATAAATAAATACCATGCATTATCATTAACATTACACTAATTTTCTCCAAGCTTTTAAAACCCATCTCATGGGCTTCGTTATTAGACTGCTATATAAATATGATGCCAAATTAAAATGAAATCTTCACAATGTCTCTCCCCTCCCCAAAATTTTCACCAGAAAGGAACTGTATACTACTACAAATAACAACTTTGGTGAAGGGCAATATATCCTCTCCTAGATTTTGATCTAACTCTCAGCTGCCATTCCACATTTCTCTTGTTTTCACTCCAACTTAAGACATAGGACGCTTTTTCTCTTTTCCTACACATGGAAAGCTTCTAACAGCACTAATGTACATGTCTCTGGTTTTCTTCATTGTTTCTTCAGAGTGCTGTGTTATTTAAGCATATGCCTCATTTCAAAATAGGCTTATGAAATCATTCAGGTGGCTTTTTTCCTTCTATCGTAATTAAAGTCACACTCAGACAATAACCATAAAGTCAACCCAAAGGTGTTTTTTCCAGAGGCAACTGGACTTTGTTTTTTCTTGAAGACATTTCACTTCTCATCCAAGAAGCTTCTTCAGCTCTGAATGGATGGTGGGGAGTGGATTTATATGAAGGATTTATACTCCTTGCAGACAGCCAGAAAGTCCAGTTGTCTCTTGAAAAAGCACCTTTGGGACAACCCATGACTGAGACTCTCAATACTCAATATTTTGATCACATTTCTAACACGTCACGTCTCCCCTATAATTACAGGGACAATAATTTCTAAACGCAGGGAAGTACATCCCACTAAGCTTTATGGGACTTCTATGATGATAATGATAACAAGTCATAATCTGCCTCTTAACTCTCCAAAGCATCATCTTCTACCCAGTTCCGCTCACAGCTCGTCTGCATGCATACCCTAAAATTACTGTTCCCCCCACCCCACCCCGACGTCCCCTATTTTTTTCTACTTACCAGTCTGCCGCCCCTCTGTTGTGAGGGTTAAGGGCCCCAGTGAGGGTCCGAGCCGAAAGTTTGATGTTTACCATGTAAGGCTGCATGGCCGAGAAGAAAACAAAAGGAGGAGCGAACTAAAACGGCCAAAGGGTGAAATCCAGGAAACGCACTCTTGGTTGGAGCGCCGCTAATCCTTTTCCCTAATTGGTCCGACTTGCCCCGGTCGCTCCAGAACTTTGGTTCCGCCGGCGCTTACAAAAACGAAACCAAACGAAACGAAACCAGCGAGAGGCAGTCCGGGCGCATGAATCCATTCTTTTGCGCATGCTCAGAAAGAACTATTCCCAAGCGTTGTATTTCTCTTGTTTCTGTTGATGGATTGTGTTTATGCAAACTTTGCTTTCCGTTACTCAAGAGGGGAAAAAAAGGAATACATGATTTGCCACACCTGTACAATTAAGATTGTTATTATCTCTGTATTGGAGAATCCAGGCAGGCAAACAAGCTAAAATCATATCATGCACAAATTAGAATAAATCCCAGTGAACATATTTCGAAGTTAATTAGAACTGTCTTGTTTACCTGGGAGAAAGGCAGTGGATTTGCTAGCTATTTTATTAATCTAAACTAATAAACACAGATTGTTTTCAAGAAGTATATATAAAAAGATGTTTTTATTGGTTTTCAGCTTGATTTTTTTTTGTCCCAAAGGAGAAATATTACTTTATCAAAAAGTCACCTCTTTTCCAAAAAGGAATGTAGTTATCACCAGTTTAAAGTTCTGTGTCTGGTGGAATGCTGCTTAATACAACAAGTGGTTATTTCTATGCTGTTCAATGTGTTTTATTTGCTGTGGTTTCATATTTATGTATATATGCATACTATGTATAAATGTTTCAAGTAAACAGTCATAAATTATACAGAAAATAATTTCATCTTCCATCATGAGATAAAGTACAGTAGATTGTGGTAATGGAGGGGGGGGGACATGATATATATTAAGAAAGATCATATTTGTTATTTGGACTCCCTGAATCACAAATCCATTCAATTAAATATATATATTTAAGATTCTTTATGTTTTAATACATATTTTACAAAAGAAAGTATGAAATAAGTATAAAATAAGTAACATATTGCACATGAATACATGCAATAAAGAACAGATTCCAAGAATTTCCATCTGACAGTGAAAAGAGGTCTTCACATTAAGACTATTATGCAAATGGCTGAAAATTTAAGCCCCTGAAATGATTGCTGAAGCAAATGTTGACAAAAAAGCTTGTAAATTCCCACTGGCTTCTAATGCAGCTTGAGATAGTGGAGGTTCTCAGTGTTGCCAAAGCAAAGACAGATTTTGCAAAGTGTGAAAGCAAATATTTGCTGGGGTGGGATAAATGCATATCTGTGTTTTTAAACAGAAAATGTGTGTTAAAATCTGTTCTTCCATAAGAAAGGTATGCAACTTGCAGCTTCAAGACCACACACAATTCATTTTCACAATCCCTACAATATCCTTGATTATGCCACCTAACCTTGAGGGTATTTTAATTTTAATATTGTATTTTATATGTATATATATGTATTTTAATATCATGAAAAGGGTCATGAGAATAAGATTAATACTATTTTTTAATATTGAAATGAAAGTTTTTGTTAGTTCAAAATGTTTTTTAAAAAAAGAATTTAATGTCATGAATATTTCTGCATAGTATCCTTAAGATGCACTATCAATTCACAGTTGAATCATTACCCTTATCTGAACTGAGAACTTTTCATATATTTGCCATTTTTCTGTGATTGGCATTGGAGGCTTGAGTGATTATCAACAATGGTCTGTCAGCTGCCATTATTATCATTTCTCAGCCTTTAGACCACCGGTGTCAGACTTGTGGCATCATGTTGCCACCAGGTGATGTTTTGTGATGTTTTCATGGAGATGGGGTGGGCGTGGCCTGCATGTGACATATCCGGCCTGCAGGCCACTAGTTTGATACTCCTGCTAGACTAAGAGCAAGTATAATGTGAATGTAGCTGCCATTATTAACTTTGTGTTTGATATAAAAAATAAGCAAGAGACATATATCTAAACTCTAAAAAAAAAAAATCTGCTTAGTTTCTGCCAGTTTTTTTATAACTTAGCAAAGTTTGTATGATTTGAAAGCCAGTTCAAAATTAACATTAGGTCATCTAGCCTCGAAGGTACAGGGGTTTAGTGCACCCTGTAATTAACACAGCTGCCTGCAATTTCTGCTGGTTCGAATCTCTCCAAGGCTCAAGGTTGACTCAGCCTTCCATCCTTTCTAAGGTAGGTGAAATGAGGACCCAGTTTGTGGGGGCAATAAGCTGACTTTGTATAAAACATACAAAAGAATGAAGGCTATTGCTTAACGCATTGTAAGCCGCCCTGAGTCTCCAGAGAAGGGCGGCATATAAATCAAATTAAATAAAAAATAAATAAAAATCTGTTCCTAATAGGAAAAGGCTGGTTTGATCTTTGAAGATTATGAAAAGATCAGACAGATGAAAAGTACAGCAGCTTTATGGAAGATTTAGAAGAAATCTCATGCTTCTGTGTGATTCTTGGCAATCTTTGGCCAATGCTATGAATCATTAGTGGTGAGCCAGAGACTGCTCTTCTGGTCTTGTTTCAATAAGCTGTTTATCAAGATGACTGGTCTGTTTTGTTGGACTTCAACAATCTAGTGTAAAACAAGGTGACAGCAATTTTGTAAAATTTAGTCATTTGTGGAATTATACTATACTGCTGTAATTGGCAGATTTAATCCTTTAGATGGAAAGAAACCAACACATTTTCAAAATGCTGCTTTGGAAAAAATATAGGATTATTCTGTTTCCTAGACAACATGTTATTGTCTAGAGATACACAGCCCTTTGTGTTGACTTTATTATATAAGCTTCTAAGAAGTGTTATACACTGTATGCACCTAGACATTTGTTTTGTGCAAGGTGTCTCTCCACTTTTAACACAGGTAAGCAGCCAGAACAATGAAAGGCAATTTAAAAAGAAAGTAATCCACGTTAATTTAAAATCCTCCTTCAAAGGTAAGAATTTGGTTTCTCCGTGAAACAGAAGGCTATTAAACTATTAAACAGAAGGCTTCCAAAAAGCAGAAAGATTTTCCAAGTTATTCCAACTATATGGAAAAAGAACTTTCTTCCTAACATTCACAGGACAATCAGTGAATGTAACATCAAGAGAACTAGCTTCTTATGGAGAAACTATGTTATCACAACTTTTTTTAAAACATGGAAACTCTGATACTATATGAAATTTGGTAAGATACCATTGCATCAGCTGGCATGATGGGTTGTGTGTTGCTCAGATTTTCTTTTGAAGCAGCATATAGGTAATCTTTTGACAGTTGCTTAGCAATCATTCAAAGTTACAGTGGACTTCCCTGGGGTACCTATGTCCTGGATTCGAAGTTCTCATGTGGTCATCCCCTATGGTCATATGACTGCACTTTGGGTGGTCAGCAAATAAACCATTTGCAGCGTCTCATAGACACATATTTTATGATGTTTTTACTAAAAACCAGCATTTACTTCCAGTTTTTGCCAAAATTGCACCCATAGAAAAACATTGGTTTGTTTAACAACCATGGCATTCACTTAACCATTGCAGCAAAAGTGATTGTCAAATCAGGTTGGTGGGTGATCCGGTTTTCGTCCATCACAAGCTACAACCATGATGGGCAGGCTCCATTACAGTTGTAAATCAAGGACTACCTATACACTACTACCATGTTTGATTAGTAAGCCATGTGGATGGGAATTTGCATGTTGTGGCAAGCTTTTCTCTAGGTTGCACAATTTTCAGTTAATTCTTAATTCAGTTCAAATATACAGAGGAATGGACAGGAAGATTCTCTGGATCAAGTTGAAGAGATCATAACCTTCTGTAAAGCCACACTGTTCAAATTCACCATAGAATCACTGTACAGCCTACAAAATGTCTATCTTCATTTCTTATTCTTAGCTTAAATTCAGAAAAGTTGCACATATACCATCAGTATTCAGAACCATGAAAAAATGGACTTTGTTCCTTTTAAATGAAAAGAAGTGGTATAGGATAGAAGTGCTGGATTTCCTGCTAAAAACTCATGGCAATAAGGGGGTTACAAATATAACAAATTTAAAAATGGCTCATATTCATTTCTGGAAAATATTTGGTAATTATTTCTAACAATAATTAGATATTCACTAAAATTCTTTAAATTAAAAAAAAGAATAAAAATGGTCAACTTGTATAAATTGAGCCACTTATCATTGAGCCACCCTAACAATATATTAAGGTGAGTTATGTGCAAAGAAATTAGTTGGTCATTTTTTTCTTTCCTTGCAAGAATTTATAACCTTATGGTGCAACTTCCAATTTGTCTATTTTCTTTATGTTTCAAGAATCAATCACATGTTTGGAATCCCATTAACAGAATAAAACTGACCTTCAATTGTGGTAAGGGGTTTTTTTTTGGAACATAAGAAGTGATTTATAATATTGCTAATAGCATGCCATCTAGTAATAGCAACCTTTAAGATGAGAATGTCTACAAAATTGATCACAGGAGTGAAAAAAATGAAGTAATTTGTAGTCGTTTCTTGTAGATGGCTTAAAGCCATGTTTATTGCCTAGTAAAAAAAGTATTTCCAGCACAATTTCCAGCACAATTTCCAGCACAATGCAAGAGCCAGCTTAAAGTAGGCCAGCTAAAAAAATTCTTCTTTACTTCCAATCTTATTCCCCCTTCGCAATAACAAGGCAAAATGGGTATTCTACTCCAAAAAGTCAATGTTTTCATATATATATATAAGCAATCCTCCACATAAGGCCTGAAGATGGCGTCACAAAAAGCCTTCAATTACACAAGAAGTTTCCTTCTGAAGAGAACAGGCAGCCCAGAAGTGTAGGATTCATGATTATGAATGGCAGCTATCAGTAATTGTCGAAAAGGAGGTATGCCTGCAACAGCGTACAATAGCTAATTAGGATGGATGAATTGCCTACAATAAAATGAAGCCCGGCAAACAGATTGCATACTTGCCAAAATTGATAAAAAATGTATTTTGACATGGATGAATGAAAGATGAGTAGATTGATTAATTGATACGCGCTCTACATGGGGCTACCCTTGAAAAGTGTTCGGAGACTACAGTTGGTCCAGAATGCAGCCGTGAGAGCTGTTGTGGGTGCACCTAGGTATACCCACATTACACCAATTCTCCGTGAGCTGCACTGGCTCCCTATTGGT